TACATATATCATAATATATAAGTAATTATTTATTATAGGACTATAATATAAATTATTTTGAACACTGGAATTATATGTAGCACCTTTTTTGTACCTAATATATGGATAAATTAAATTGAATTATAAGTAGGCTTTGATTGACTCTAGTTTGAAAAATATTCAATTATACTGAATGATAGAAAGTAGAATTTTGTTGAAAATTATTTGTCCATAACATCTTTAACAATAGGCATATACATGTCTCTGATTGAAGACAAAAAATATATTTTTGATAACCTTAGTTTAACTAATTTCAACATACTCAGTCTAACAGGTATGTAAGTAGAGATAAGATACATACTATGAGGACAAAATTATGTAATCATATATGATTTTATTAACAATAGACCAAATTCTTGTCATATATTTGGTCAAATTAACCATTATTATACAATCCATTCAAGTTACAATCAATGAATCATCAAATCTAGACTAGACTGCTTACTATTCTATTATTACTAACAGAAGGTCATTAATGTACAGTGAATCACATTGAAGTATTACACTTATCCAAGCAAGTTTAAGCAACATGTCACTCTATGACAGTTGCACTGTGCCATGGAAGCTTGGAAAAAATTTGTAAACGAAGATGCAACGATGTCGACATGTTTAACAACAAATAAATGAATAACAATAACATTGTTTTCCTTTGTCATTTTCCACTCTCCTGTGGTGAAGACATATGTAGATAAGTTATCTGATACTGACGTGGCTACAGAGTGTAAGATATAAATTAAGTCGCGTGTAACATGTCAAATGAGAAACTCTACACGAATTGTTACCTGAAATTTCTTGATTAATTAACCAACAAAACATTGCTCGAGGCGGAAACTATAAGTTGACTGATCGAAGTTATCTGCCCTTTATTCCTGGTGCCGTACATATTTCGGAAATAAAAAAAGATTAACAAGCATCAGGACACGAAATGTTGATTCAATATTACACGGGATAAAACACGAACACTAAATTTCACAATTTAAGGTTTTTGAAAAATTTTAAAAGTTTTTTTCAATTTTCTAATTTATCGATGCTGATATTTTATTCAGACACGGCGATTTAATTATTTCCACTTCCCAGTCTGTGACTCTGTCGTTTATAAATCTGGCACAGTCATCTAAGTAATGTCCTGGTCCAATTTTGAAAGAAAAGGATAGGCGATATAAAAATGCAATATTTCATGCAATTTGCTACTGATATGGCAAATGCACCCAACCGCCCCACCTCCTCGCTAAGATGCGGCCCCAAAATCGAAATTGATAATGCAACTATAACGCTGCGCTTTAATTATTAGCCTAGTAAAAGTGCGTCAAAATCGAGTTTTCGCCCGGCTTGAATCTAATTTATGGGTAGGCCCTATTTATGATAATGTATAATTATTTGGATCGATATGAGATCTTGGACGAGTTCGAATTTATGGTAACAATGAACTGTTTTTAGCTAGTTGAAAGTTAGCCTACATGTGTCAAAATGCATAATTACAATGTCAAGCTATAATTACAATTTGAATTTAATATCTTAATTGACTTTTCATTAGATTATTTTCCTGACGCGGATTTCAGAGATTTGATTGGATTGTACGCCAGTGAATACAGTCAATAAGATCCCTAGACATAATAATTTGCGTATGATCCAATCAAATCACTGCATTCACACAATTAAGTTGATACAAGAAAAGAGCCTAAAATAAAGTCATGTTATTACACGCTTGAATATATCATGCGTGAATTTTAATTTTTCATAAGATTTTTAGGTGAAGCTTGGGATGCATAGGATATTCAGGCTTTTCATAACACTCGGTCAATGTCAAAGACAACTCGAACTACTATTTTTTTAATAGACTCGGATAACTTCTTTAAAGCCCCGGACCAATGTTAAAGACAACTAGGATAACGTTTTTAAGACTCCGACTATAGTAAAGATAGTGGACCACAGCCATATACGCCCTTCACGGCATGCGGATGGTAAAAACGAAACATCCATTTTAAGTTTCATCAAAATCGGTTGAAAACTAAGAGAGTAATAACATATTCAAGATTTTGGGGCAAGGGCAATAACTCTGCTTCTAACAGTCGAAAATAGCTCAAATTCGAACTTGATTTTCGTTTTATGCTTCGTTTTATGAATATGTATACACATACCGAATTTCATTTGATTCCATCCAAAATCTAGTTTTTAGAGTGTTACGAGCAATGTTGATAAAAGCACTTACTGTATAGAGGTTAAAGGGCGATAACTCCTAAAAACTGACGTTAGAGGCCTAAATCTTGAAAGAGCCTTAAATTTAATCAGAAGTAAACTTAACTTTCTAAAACCTTTCGATTTAGGTCCAATAATATCCATTTTAAGTTTCATCAAAATCGTTTAAAACTAAGAGAGTAATAGCATATTCAAGATTATGGGGCAAGGGCAATAACTCTGCTTCGTTGTATGAATATGAATTTGGTTTGTAAACACGATAAAGGCTATTGCAGTTTCCTCTGATATTGAAGAAATTTGGTATGCATGTATTGATGAGATCTCGGTCAAGATGCATGGAATTTGGTAATGATCAGATGAACGATTTTGAAGTTATTGTCCTTTACTTAATAAAAACGTGTCAAATTTGACTTGAACGATCAGGCTTTACATCATTTTTATATGATCTTGATGAAACTTAGTATGCATGAATATATCGATAAGCTTATTCATATTTGAATTTAATGATAATTTGATGAACTATTTTTGAGGTAGGCTATTGCGTTTATTTAAACAATATTTAAAAAAAATTGAGACATAGAGCCAAGCATCTGTCTCTATACCAGATTATGATATCTATTTGGATAGATGTCAGCTGGTGTAGAGACAGAAAAAATAGGCCCTGGTAAATGGAGACATTCCGCATCTCTGCAGGTTTTTAAAACTATTTAGATTCCTCGGATCTGCAAAACCCAGATATATCGGGAAAGATGAATATTTTTGTAGTTTAGTCATACCATCATTTTCTCCCTACACCATTTATGTCACGTCTCTGGTGCCATCAATTTTTTTTTAACAAAACCAAAAGTTCAAAGGTCACAGAGTGATTGGGATCACTTGATACTAACCATAGAGTTATTGTAATTTATAACTCTATGAAACAAAATAACTTACAATCATCGTATAGGTAATTTAAAGTGATACTACGTCTTAGAATGAACATAAAATTTAAGTTGTCAAGAATGGTCAATATGAGTATATATTCATCAGTGAACATACCTGGCGTCATAAAGTTAAACAGAATCCCTGTAAAATCTGGAAAATTGGAAAATTCACAAAACAAAGTAATTATTGGAAATCATAATATTAAGCGTTTTTCAATAATCAATTGCATTTTTATGGAGATTTATCACCATATTTAACGATCCTGTTATGTTATTTATGACACCAGGTATATCTACTGATGAATATAATTATGCTCTTATTGGCCAAGTTTAAAATTCTTAAATTTTATGTTCATTCAAAAGCGTAATAGGGCCTATTTCTTTTATATTACAAAAAACACATGTTCGGAGCTAGGTGTAGAAAATCCCTATCTACTCCAGCTGACAACTGTTAAAATATCTATCACAGGCTGGAATAGAGGAAGATGTTTCGGACTAAAGATAAGTGCGATTTTTAAGGCACACATCTTAACGAAACTGAGTGTGAGTGTTTGAAATCGCAATTTTAATCTTTATTATTACCGTACCTCTATGTTGAAAAGGAATTCAATATTTAGCACATAAACACTATGGAAGGCACAAATCTTGAAAGATTTTTACAAAACTGATGAGAGAGTTTGGTTACAACCAAGGATGAACCCTTGCCCTTGACTGGCAAGCTATCTTATTAATTTAATGTAGGCGTATTTGAGTTATTGCTATTCAAAAAATTCAATGTTTTTGGACTACAAATATACGCTGAAGATCGTATCCTAGAATATGAGAATAATCTGATGTTAGCATTAAGCAATTCTGTCCTGCTAGTGGGAGTATATACCTTGCCTGGCAAACTTCTTTTACTCTTTTCAGAGATAATAGCCAGGCCGGTTAGATGTATGACATTAGATATATAACAACACTTCATATAATATTATACTAATTTTAAAATAGCTAGAGAAACGATCCTTTTTCAGGACAAATTTAAACTTGTACTTTACTCAAACAATATGTCCGATTTGACTAAAGACGAGGAACGATTTGGTAAAAGTGGAGCATGCGCTTGCGGCGGCGAGTAGCCTACACTTCCGGTAATAAATTAAAAGTAGAATGAAACGTGTAACAAAATGAATTGGTCAAAATTGTATAGTCAATTGATTTTCATCTGAATGTAAACTAATTAATCCATGACAGGCGACATATTATTCCGTTCATAATTTACACTCATTTTTGAAAACTGGTGATGTACAAGAGTACAAGACTACTGTTTAGCCCAGTAAGAAAGTAAAGAGAGCAGAAAGACCAGTACAATTGACGAACGAGAAAGCAGGCTTTTGCATTTCTATTAAGTAAATTGAAGGCAACAAATTTGCAAAAAGAAAAGATAGGATTGCCATTACAAACCGTAAGAGTTCATTAATTTGCCAAGTGGAAACACTGAAAGCTTAAAGCGGAAACTCAACTGTCTTACTAATATACCTTAACGTTCAAAATTCAAGACATTTTCCTTTGCAATATTTTGTTCGAAATGTGATTGTTTCAGAAGTAAAGTGAAAAAACTAATCTTTTTATTTATTTCAAATATTGTTTGATACCAATATTTCTGGTAGGCCTATTTTCTAAATTAGCATTTCATGTTCACTTTATTTACAATTGGTAGGCTACCACTTAACATTTGTTACATTTATACTTAAAGGATCATTTTAGTTTGTTATTCTTTTCAGATAAATCTTTCTGATAGATCAACTTAGTATACTTGATGAATTCAATACAATGAAGTTCAGAGAAACATCAATTAGTTTCAAAATGAAGGTTCATTGCATATGCTTGTTACTTTTTCTTCACATGGTCAATGCTGATTTCTATGCTTTATTGATGATCCAAAGAACAGCTTCTACTAAGGATATTAGAAAAGCTTTTAAAAAATTAGCAATATCAATGCATCCAGATAAAAATCAGGTTTGTGTTGGGGCTTTGTAATGATAATGTTTTGGTGGAGGGGATTGACATATTATTATGTGTTCAAAGAGGGATTTATTAGTCCAAATTTAGAACTGTGTCAAAAAATTGTTGTTTTCAGTTTTGTGTGATTACTTATTATCTTATTACAATGTTTGTGACAACACTTTTTAAGTGAATTAATCTAAACTAAAAACTTACAACTGGTTGTTTTCTGCTTTTAGGATTCAACAGACATGACATGGTTTTTTATAATGACCTAGATTTTTTATATATGAAAGAATTTCATTCAATTATAGACTAAATCATGTATAATTTACTTGTTTTAACAACTCTCTACTGGTATTAAAATACTGAATAAAGTTTATCAAAGTAAAAGATTGTTGTTACAGGATGATCCTGAAGCCCATGAAAAGTTCATTAAAATCAACCGTGCTTATGAAGTATTAAAAGATGATACATTACGTAAGAAGTATGATACATATGGTGAAGCTGGATTGAAAAATGATTTTCAACGTGGTAGGCATTATGAAAGCTGGCAATGGTATCAAGATAATTTTGGTAAGAGAATGTGAATATATCTGTTCAGATTTCAGACTTCAGAAACATTTTGTCAGAAACATTTTGAGGGAAACATTACAGTAAAGAATATAACGAAGTATACTACTTCAGGGTTTTATTGCACACAATGTTTCAACACTTTACATTGTCATCATCAGTTCAACTGCAGGTTTGAGAGGTTTTTCATTTGAACATATGAAAATCTATAGCTAAGTATACAGGTATGTAACTGATCAAATTTATGAAAACTATTTATTACAATTTTCTTTTGTTTTATTTTCAGGTATTTATGATGATGACCCTGAAATTATTACATTAACTAAAGTTGATTTTGGTAAGTTCTAGAATTGTGGAAGCAAACTAGTTGAACTCATGTTTTAAAATATGCTCTTGATCTTTACAATCAGGTATTCATTTCCCAGGGAGTTTCCATGTTGATAATTATGCTCTGTTATACATAAATTTAATATTTGTTCTTTACTTTTCGGCTATATTACAATTATTTTTATTATTATAAGCCTAATTATATATACAATTTATTAAGTTTAGTAACAGCACTAGTAATTAAAAATCAAACTGGAAATTTGTCTAATCCTTAACCTCTGTTGATATTGATTGTTGACTGTTGTATTAATTATTTATAGAACAATCTGTAGAAGGTACTGATGATATATGGTTTATTAATTTCTATTCTCCACAGTGTTCACATTGTCATGATCTAGCTCCAGATGTAAGTCTTCAGTTTAAAACTTTTACAATTTTAACTGGGTTATATTGGATCCCAACTGTTTGACATTCTAATACCTTTGTAGAACACAAATTGATGGAGTGTATCTGCTGTTTTTGCAATAAGTTTCCTTTATAATTTTGTTTTTATTGTTTGGTATAGGTCTGACTTGTTCAGTGCATATTGTTTTTGCAGTGGAGAAGACTGGCTAAAGAACTAGAAGGTGTAATACGTATTGGAGCTGTTAATTGTGGTGATGAATGGCAGTTATGTCGTATGCAGGGAATACGATCGTATCCATCTTTAGTGATGTATCCAGAGGTAAATTATAACAATTTTAGAGGTGGTAAATGGTATATGCCTTTCAGATCTTAGTGATGGATTTATATTTGAGATCAAATTCAGGCTACCTATCTTCATTTTGTAAAATTTGATGAGTTCATGCATATCTTGTAATAATGCTGATATGGTTAATGGTTTTACTATCCTTAGTTTAACTATTTGCAGACAGCTGGTTTTACGTTAAAAAAACTAAATGTATGGAGGACTGTATATCTGTTTAAGCACCAGGATTTTATTTATAATTTATAGGGAGAAAAATATTATGGTGATAGATCAGTATCAACTCTAGTTGATTATGCTATGAAGCATGTTAAAATCAGCCATGTTGAACTATGGTCTGGTAACTATAATGATGTAATGAATCGTGATAATGAAGGGAAAAAGTTACCTTGGTTTGTGACATTCTGTGGTGATGGAGGAGGTAATTTCAGTGTTCAATGTTTGATTAACTGGAATTTTATTGCTGACATATTCAACAAAACTGACTACTTAGAATGTGATTGTTTGAATATTCAGGGCCAGTTTTGTGACTTCATACCAGCATTAATATAATTGCAATCATACTTTTGTGTCATTTAGAATTGAATTAGGTACTGTCGTTTGTGTTGATATGTGTTTTGCTTGAACTATCAAGTTTGATTATGGTTTGGGCAACATGTACATTATTATGTATTATCTTCCTGAACTTTTAGACAAATGGGACATAAGTGAGCAGTTGCCTATTTGACTGATATTGTATTAACTGTTTCTCACATAAACTGGGTGTTTTTTTGTTGACCTGGTATTTTATTAATAGTACTTTGGAGAACTGGATAGCATTTTGCTCTTTGCAACACTAAACTGTTGATCCACTAGAATAAAAACCTTTTACAGGACAGATGTTATTCAATGTAGCTTGCATCAACTGAATATTATTGATCTAAAATTTCATACTATAAGATATTATAATTTGAATCTTATGAAAAAATATCAACTGTCCTATAATTGTCTTTTTAGATTGTTTAGAAAGAATGGCTTGCATGAAACTTGCTTCAATGCTGGTAAGTCTTCTAGCAATAGACCTTATTCATTGGCCATATTGAACAGCATGTTACTGCAGTAAAATCTCCAGCTTGACGTCATTAAAACCTCCTTCTCCAATTCCTCTACCGGTAACTAAAAACTAATGATATTTTACATTATTAAAATCAGAGGTGATTAAGCTATTTAATGATACTTTCAGATGAAGTTTACCATCAGGCATTTTCTTCTCTTTGTTTTCACACATAAAAAGAAAACAGGTGAATGTAAGAGGTTGTAAGAACAAACTATGGTATGCTAGAGGGAATATATCATACTATTATGAGCCGACAATAATATACAATACCTTATTTTACTTCTAGGAAGAATTAGTCCAAGTAGTACATGTTGATTGTTATACTAACGAAGATATCTGTGATAATCTAGGCAAAAGATTTGGTACTTATTTTTATTTAGATGGTGAAATAGAAAAAAAGACAGGAATGGTAAGTCAATCAGTAATATAGCTATATAGTAAACTGTAAACAGAAACAGTCAAATATATCTAGATTGACACTTTTACAGAAGAAATATGTTTTCAAATATGGTATAGTTGCCAGGGTAATTGCTTCATAAATTAAGCTTAACTTCTTCTATCCATGAAACTTTAAAGTCTGACTACCAGGTTTCCTTACAAATATGTTTCATGAAAATTAACAAAATGACACTTTTAGATGACTCTAAACATTCTATGATGATATTTGTCAAAAACTACACATAAAATGATAAGAATCTTTTGGAGTAAATTGAAAAATTGAAAAAGGGTCAAAAGATGATAGTGATTCAATTGACATTGTTGAAATGATTCTGATGTTTTAAACTGTAGGAAATAACATCACTGGATGTTCAAGAAGTAGCTACTATTATATTAAAACAATTACCTGATATGGAAAATATTGATGAGAAAACGTTAAAGGTCAGTAATTAAGCTCTCATGGGTTTTGGTTGTGCAGTGTGTAGCCTAATGAGGGTCAGTTTACCTGTATATTAGCATTAGCTTTCTGTTGCCTAGTGCGGAGATCTTGCAAAATAATTTTGTTAGGACAATTCTGTTATAGGCAATATTAGATAATAAAAACAATGGACAAAAAGAAGACTGGTTAATCCAATTTGTTGATACAGAAGAGACTGGCAGTTTAGATCTACGTAAATTACCAGCAATGTTGGTAGACTTTAATGTATGTATTGCAAGTTTTATCTCTATTTAACTTTTTCATATAATTCAGTCGACTAACTAGTCAAAGTCAAAATGTTCCACAAAAAAAGATAAAAAAATTCAATATAATTATTTATTTCAGGTTGGTAGAGTTACCTGTAAAGAGTTATCTTCTCTTTGTGAAACTCTTCATTTAAATAAATTTCCTACTTTCATATTATTTAAACAAACTGGTGGTTTTGAAACTTTTTACGGTAAGCTTCTATATAAGTAGAATGAGCATATAGGGGAAAGACTGAATTTATGGGTGGACAATTGTCGAGGCCCAGATTCAATGTGGCAGCTTCATGGAAAGGACATCGAGTGTCTAAGAATCTGAGTGTCCTCTAGAAAATTTGGAAAATGTTGAATTGAATTGTGCATGTTGTTTAATTTGTTAGAAGTAAGATGTGGTTGTAATTGAGGGCACAAACCATTTTGTGAGGGGGCGGGGAGGAGCACCACTGTCTCTCTGAAGACTGTTTATGGCACACACAAAATGTCATTGTCTTAGGTATATTCTGAGCAAGATTTTATAAGAATAATATCGTTAAGATCTGTATCGGGTTTTTTCCTTCTTGACCCATCAAGAATCTTTAACTGGCCTGCCATTCCATCTAAATTTGCATCCTGAAAGTGATGCACTAGTCCACACTAAATAGATGAAGTCTATGGAAATCTTTCACACTGAATTCTGACCATAGTTAATGTAGTGATAAGTGAACACAACAGGCTCCTGTTTACTGTGATTTTCACAGATTATCATTAACAATTCCCTCATCATTGCTTGTAGGTAGAGTTACTGCTCATGATATAACTGCTTTTGCTGAAGATAGTGCTACATCACCATTAGAGAATCTTGGACCAGGTGATTTTCCAAATAGAGTAGTTCTTAGTCAAGATAATTGGTTTGTTGATTTCTTTGCACCAGTAAGTGATTTTTTTTAGAAACTTTTGAAAATATGACACAGATTTAAATACTGAGAAAGACAATCTGTGCCATAGTTCAATGACACTGTTGTATTAAAGGCTATATTATGACTGACTAGAATGGCTTGGACTTATCAAGATATTGTAAGTTATATTTGTTGTCTGTCTCTAAAAACTCTTTTACTGCTATGTAAATATCTATATTAACCAACCCCATCATTGTAGTTGTGTTTGTACATATCTGTATCAATTCAGTGATATTTGCCATTGCATTTCAGTGGTGTCCACCCTGCATGAAATTACTACCAGAGTTTAAGAGAGCTGCTAAAGACTTTGGTGAAAATGTACATTTTGGTACAGTTGATTGTACAGTGCATGATCAACTCTGTAAAAACGTAAGCTCCATCAGTCCTCCTTTTTTGCAGTCTTTCCAAAAATGACAAGTTATTTAGACTGTGGTCTATTTTGATACACCCTTATGCTGCATGGGAAAATCATATACATCTGTGAATAGATTTGCTTTTGTTCAATCAACACAAAGTACTTTAGGTTTTAGAAAACATAGTAATTTGTTTGGCTGAGAAAAAGACTTCAGAATCATGAAAAATTTAAATAGTCTTGACAATGAGTTATAAGAATCCTTTTATTCTAGTAAAATTTTAATTTTTATAAGGCCACATGAAGTGGGGGGCGTATATTGCCGTTACCCATGTCCGTCCGTCCACAATTGCTCGTAAACACTCTAGAAGACGCAATTCTTGACGGATTTTGACAAAACTTGGTGTGAGTGTTCGTAATCACCCAAGGATGAACCATATTGAAAAAGATAGTGGACCACAGCCATATACGCCCTTCACGGCATGCGGATGGTTAAAACGAAACATCCATCTAAGTTTGATCAAAATCGGTTGAAAAATAGAGTAATAGCATATTCAAGATTTTGGGGCAAGTGAAATAACTGCTTCTAACGGTGGAATATAGCTCAAATTCGAACTTGATCTTCATTTCATGAGTATAACGAGTATGTATACACATACAGAATTTCATTCCATCACAAAATCTAGTTTTTAGAGCATTTACAAGCAAATGTTGACGGACCAACGGTCCGACAGAGTATTTACAAGCAATTGATGTTGATAGGAGCACTTACTGTATAGAGGTTAAAGGGCGATAACTCCTCAAAACTTACTTAAGAGGCCTAAATCTTGAAAAACCTAATGGACGGACAGGGGTCCCGACGATATACGTCCACATAGAGAGATGTGGGCATATAATCAGAAGAATCAAAAATATATAGTATGAGTTATTGCCCTTGTTCTTTAAAACACGTTCAATAAACACTCTAGAAGGCACAATTCTTGATGGATTTTGACGAAACTTGGCATGAGTGTTTGTTATCACCCAAGGATAAAAACTATTAAAAATCAGAAAAATCGAAAAATATTAAGTACGAGTTATTGGCCTTGTTCTTGATAATGTGTTAAATTTTTAGCACGTAACCTCTCCAGAAGGCACAGTTCTTAACAGATTTTAATGAAACTTGGTAATATTATTCAGTATCGCCTCAAAATGTTCAAAAGAAGTGTATGTCTGAAGGTTGAATATTTAATACTGGTAATTGTTCCTGTACTGCCAAATATTTATATATTACCTTACCTGGCAAGCTATCTTAATGCTTATTATAGTATAACATTAGATCCTATCCAACAACTATATTTTACAACCAGAGTAAACCTATACATTATAAAGGACATCATCATGCTGCATCAATGGTGGAATTTTTACAGGTAACTCATTTCTATTTAGTGCTATACAAAGTCTTTTGATTCGTCTGATTTACATAGGTTATTGTAAAGAGAAATGATGACTGGATATGGTGATTGAAGCAGTAAAGAACCAAACGATTTCTAATAATATTTAACATTAAACTTCCATTTGAGTTGTGAAAATTGCAGCACTTTCATGTATATAGTGATATAATTACGGATATCAAGTTATTACGATCACCCTTGTAATGTTAAATTATAGGATACAATGGATCCACCAGTTATTATATTAGATAGAGAATCATTCAATGAACATGTTAAAAATAAACAATCAGATGAAATATGGTTAGTGGACTATTTTGCTCCATGGTGTGGTCCTTGTATGCAGTTAGCTCCGGAATGGAGAAAATTATCCAAGGTAATATTTTGACATAAACATGGGAGGGTAAAAATTGAAGTGAACGAACATGCCTTACATCTGTAGAAACAACTGCAATAGTGTGTACCAGTACATATATTCAAACATTAATTGCTTGTATTAAACATGCTATACAGAAAAGTTAGGTCATCTAGCAGTCTATTTCATCCTATAATCATTTGAAATATATATGAATCTTTCTGCTATAGAATTTATATCATTTAGATGTTTAAAGGATCTAAGAGTGTATTTGTAGCCGAAGTAGATTGTCAAGAATATCATGATATTTGTCAACAGGAACATGTTCAATCCTATCCAACTATGAGACTATATCCAACACAAACTACCAATACCCAAAGATATCAGTACGTCCTTTATTCTCATATACTATTTGAATTTTTATACGCCCACATGAAATGGGAGGGGGGGGGGCGTATATTGCTGTCACCCAGGGTCTGTCTGTACTTCCGTCGGTCCGTCTACAATTGCTCGTAAACACTCTACAAGACACAATTCATGACGGATTTTGACGAAACTTGGCATGAGTGTTTGTTATCACCCAAGGATAAACCCTATTAAAAATCAGAAAAATCAAAAAATATTTACTATGAGTTATTGCCCTTGTTCTTGAAAGCATTCAATTTTTAGCTCGTAAACATTCTAGGTTAAATTTTGACGAAACTTGTTTATTATCCCCCTATTGAAAATAAAAAAAAAATAAAAAAATGTTTCATAGTAGTTATTGACCTCGTATTTCAAACTTAGCTCTCAAATACTAAAAGGTGTGTTTCTTGATTGAATATTTGTCTTCTAGAGTTTTCATGAGCTAAAAATTGAACACGAACAAGGGCAATAACTCACACTCATTATTATTCAGTATTGCCCCAAAGAGTTCAAAAGAAGTGTATGTCTGATGCTAGAATATTTCATACTGGTGATTATTACTGTACAAGCTACAAGTGGGCATATATTACCTTACCTGGCAAGCTATCTTAAACCATAGCCTCCATCATCAGCCTGTTTCATTTAGACTACAGAAAACTGAGGTAGTGCCATGGATAGCTCTGTGTAGTTTTCAGCATCTATGTCATATCTTTTAGGTGTGGTTTAGTGTATCAGCTGACTACTTATCTGAAGAAAAAATCTGTAATTTGGGGATTCAGAATCACCCACTTCATTGAAAGACTGGCAGTATAAGTTTGAATGATGATAGCAATATCATGAAATGAATATTTTGTCAATGTGATCTGTCATTAAATTCATATACATGTTCTTTCAGTATGTATAATGGATGGCACCGTGATGCCTCATCATTACGAGCCTGGGTATATGAATATCTACCATCAAAAGTTGTAACATTGTCTAGAAACAGTTTTCGGGAAAAAGTTTTAAAGAGTGCTGAACCATGGATAATTGATTTTTATGCCCCTTGGTGTGGTCACTGTCAAATATTTAAACCTGAATTTGAAAGGGTAGCAGAGGTTTGTTAATTTTGGTCCATTTTGTTAGAACATCAGCTGTGATTTTGATTATTTTTTTGACTTTTCAGAAAGAGTCTAAAGTTGATTTTCTGATGTTTTAAAGATTCAACATTTTTATTTTGAGAGTTGTGAAATTGAAAATGTTATTATTATCTCCTTGTGTTAACGATTATAGAATTTAGAGGATGTGGCCAAAGCAGGAAAAGTGGATTGCACCAAACATCAACAGTTATGCCAAGAAGCCAGTATCCATGGATACCCAACTGTAAGATTCTATAAAGGTCGAACTGGTTCTTCTGATATGCAGGTAACTCATTTCCATTTTTCTGATAACTGTTCAAATTCACATCATGTACATTTAATGGGCTTTTATGATTTCAAGCACTGGAATATGAAGTTCTGTCCATTTTTAGGTTGAAAATTCTTTTTGCTCAAATTTGTAAAACTATAAACCAAAATCTAGAGAACAGTGTAACTTAACATATCTGAAAGTTTCAACTAAAAAAAATCCAGCTGTTAATTTCAATACTATTTAAAAACATTAACTACAAATTTAAGTAAAATAAACACCTGATTGTCATCTTCATATTTTAAAGATTTCAGCTAAATAATATTTTCAGGTATAATTTACAACATTTTTGATAATAAAAATTTTGCATACTGCCCCTTAATATATTTTATTTTTTTCAGAATTCAAATGGTTGGGATATTAATAGTCAAGATGGGGATTTTATTATAGATTATGTTCTCACTAACAAACGCAACAAGGTAATTTGACATCAATGCATGATGCTATCAAATGAATCATTTATTTATTTTGATCAGAGATTTCTCAAAGACCACCATCACAATCAACTGAATTGATTAATCAGAAAAAAATATAGAAATATCAGTCCAGCAAAGCTATTAATGCAATTCAAACAGTTCAATTTTAATAGTGAAAATTAATATTTTATTTTTATTTTTTTCAGCAAGTGAAAGATGAGTTATAACATTTATGGTAGTATCTGTAATGGTTTAACTGCTGAAAAATTTAATTTTGATGAAATCCTTTTCAATTTAACTAACTGCTAAATAAATGTATTAAAATTCATCGTTTTAAGGATGTCATAAAAATACAATTTAAATTTAAATGTTTTGAAATAAGTGCAATAATTAGATTAATAACAGGAAAAAATGTGTTGATATATAACTTTGAGCATTTAAACAAAATGTGCCATATTGAACAATCCCAGACTTTTAATTTTTGATGGTTACAATTCAAATTAGTTTAAAAAAAATCGATGTTTGATCAATATTGATAATGAGTTTTATGATAATCTGTACTGAAATTAAAGGGACTTTCCGCTTTTACACAAAAATGTGTCCCGTAACAAACTAAATACATCCAACTATTAGTTTTATAAAAAAAGTATTTAAAAACATTGTGTAAAATTTTAAAGTTTGTTATGTTTGTTTGTTTTTGAAAGCTGTTAGGAAAATACTGTATGGATTTAGGTTAAATAAATGTCAAATTATAGGGAAATATATCTCCTACATATTCTGAAGATTTCAACCAATAATATTGCACTAGGTCAAACTGCTTAATTCACAATTTGTACTCTCCGGTTTTAAGTAACCCTTTAAAAACAAACACAGTTTGATCAAGAAGATACATAGATATAAGTAGCAAATTTCAGAAATATTTTCTGTTAAAATTTAAGATATTTTGTTAAGAAAATGTTTCACAAAAAAAGCGGAAAGCCCTTTAACTCAGTCAATACCAGTAAATACAGAATTATCAGCCAAGACAGACTTGGAACAAACACTAGTCAAAATTTAAAACATTATAAAAATTTTGATATTGAATCCCTGTTTTATACATATTTGTACACATTGTCTTATTGTTGTTTATATTGTAATGAAGATCTGAAAATATTAAATTATTTATTTACATTTCCACTTAGAAAATTTTCAATGTTACATATTTCCCTTCCATATTTGTCGATTGAGGGCAGAATTTGAACCGGTTCAGAACTCACCACCTGAGCTGAGAGTATCCATGTTAGACATTTGAGAGCTTGAACGTTCTACATTACTGAAAATGGAATTTCACAGCATTTAACTGTCCAAATGAAATGTCAGAGGATATATTTAGAGGTATCTTTGAAAATTTGTCAGAAAGCCTAGACATTATCAAGAATGGTTGGGTCTATTCTATCAATTTCCTGCTTACCACTGGAGTGAAGGTCAACTCTGAATGATTAGAAGATAAGAAGAATACACTGAGCAATCCTATCACAATCTGCTGGCTAGTAGAATATGATATTTCCAATTGAAGTTGAGTATGTCATTTGACTAGCTTATAGAAAATAGTCAACAATTTAGTCACTATTTACCTTACGCAGCAACATGGTAAAGATGAAAATCCCTTAATAAACTAACAACAGGAAAAAGTATGTACATAAATAAGTTTATTATATAAAATAACAATATATCATTTAATGAAACATCCTTTATAGGTCATTCTACAAATTGGTGTGTTCAGATTTTGAATTCATTAAACCACAACTACGTTTCCCTTATAGACTAGAACAATTTTCCAATTAACTTAGCAACTTATCTGTGATCTGATACATACATGTACCAATCTAATCAAAATACAGACACAGTCCACAACAGAACTTATAGAAGAACCACAAAGCTAAGCATTAAATAAAAGTTTTCATTGCTATACTGTTGAAGGATGTTTTGAAAAACTGTTATCATAAACAATGTTACAATGATACCCATATTCACAATTCCATGATTAACTTTGTTGTTATACACATCATAAGTTAGTTTCCAGGTTATAATTAGCAAAAATGTTAAAAATAGTCAACTTTTCCAAAGCCTTAAAAGAATATTAACCAATGACCTTATAAATACATCATATTTCAACATATACACCATAATACACATACATTCAAATTGATCATTAATCTTACACTAGGTAATTTAACATTAGATTAACGTTTGTGGTGAGAATACAATATAATAGATCAACCATCTGTTATTCTTCAATAGAAGGTGAAATGTTTTTTTGAGGAGTATAATTATGTAATAAGCTCGAACTAGAGTTGGTTTAACTTCAGTGTGCATTATACACAGATTATGAATGACTCATTTTGATGTGATGACTTCCTAACGTAAATTTCTATAATTTTTATCCTTGTAGTGAAAATTTCATATTATGTGGGACTGTATAATTAGATGTATATCACACTGAACATTAATATAATTCGATGTTATTTATTAAGTTGAAGAATTTTCTCTATAAAATATCTCTCAGACATTTTCCAGTACAATATCTAATTCATGCATTGGCCATATTGAATCCAGAACGAGGCTCATAAAGCAAACCTTAATTTGTCTTTAAAGCCTCCTTGTTCAATCCTACTAACTCGAAACTAATCATATTTTACATCATTAAATTTGGAATTGATTTTATTTAATGATACCTTTATGTGAATTTTACATTCACACAGTTCCATCTTGTCACTGGAAAATGAAATTGATGATTCCATATTTCATAATTATCAGTATGCCAATATGCTACTTACTGCCAATATTCTTATTGCTTTTTCTAATAAAACTTGCTGCTTCTTAGCCGCCACATTAGACAATTTAATGTGGACTAGCAGAGGTAAAGAAACAATCCCAGATTTGTGGTAATTTAGTCTATCTTATTCCCAGTTTAAATTTTTAAAATGTGCCTGCATTTTAGCATAAAATATACCATATCTAATTTATGCTTACATCCTTGAAGTTTAGTGTTCCCAATAATATACACTAGCCTTAGTAAAAAACAAATGCCCTGCAGTTTTAAAGTAATTTTCATAATAAATATCAATGCTGGTGAATTGACACATTGTCACCATGAATGGTACCGCATGGTCATGTATCAATATCAGTACTTATCAAAATGCAGAGAAACAAAAGTAGAAGTTCCATTCATTAATATTAAAGCAGTAGTCTTATCAACAGTTAAATACTAGTATTATAAATATTGTCTGAGAATAAACAATATTAAAAAATCATTGAAACTTTTAGAAGGCAAAATCTATTAATTAATCCAAATCATGATACAAATAAATACTCAGCACTGATAAATATTAATTTTTGTCAACATGTTTTTCAACTTTATATAAGTTAAAATAAGAGTTAGCCAACAAGTTTTGATTTCCTTTTTGGGCATAACATTGGATTTAATTAGAATGTACAGTGTTATTTATGTATATAATTGGTAACATTTTTGCAGCTGTGTGAAACTGCTCTTTTATATTTCATGCACCTTATATTCTCACTTCATACATAACATCTATTCAACCTCTCATATTTCTATCTCTCAATACTTGTTGATACCAAACAATCGTACACCATGTAACTGGGGTAACTTAGGAATAAGACTCAATAAGAGAAATGAGAAATTTACAATAAAATGGAAAGAGTCATACTTTGTATAAAAACTTGCCAGCATAAATCTGAAATAAAAAAAAGAAATGGTAAGCTATGTTTAACTGCAAGTGATATACAACATGAATGACAAACAGCATCACAGGGTAAGCTATGTGGAAAAATTTGTATTAACTACCGTTACCAATATGCATGCATAACACAACATACATAATGCATAGCTTTATTACTTACAAGGCAATAGGAACACAAGTAAGAAATTTCTTGGTGTCTGTAAATTGTTGACCAAAATCAATCTGCTCCCATTGTGTTTGTGTTCTAGCATCTCCTTGATCAGCTGTAACCCAAGGAGTTCCTTTTGTTATATGTAGCATAATAAACATTGCCTGCAACAACAACAAAAAAATATTACAATTGTATAAGTTAAACGAGAGGACAATAATGGATTTTGAAATTTGTATATATTCAAAATGAGTAGGATTTTCAGAGACCAATAATTCTAATCTATTTACTTTGCTTAATTCCTAACAATATAAGTTATGTAAAATATCTAACATACCAAATCATGTAGAACATTGGTAAGGGTCCAAGCGAACGCGACACTAAAAGAGGGTATACTTAATAATACAAGATGCCCCATAAATATAATCAACAAGTAGGTCAACCATATTCCTTTACTGTTTAAATAGGAATGTGTTGGATTGGTATCACTATGAGCTACACCAACATTCATTTTAACAGTCTATCAAGGAAATCCTAAAAAATAGCAAAGTACATCAAAATTATAATCAAAACTGTTCCATTTTCCTCAGTTCAACTAGAATTGTCAGATAATTATAACAAGTAACATCTTGACATCCCATATTTTACTTTCATGAAATTCTAAACTTTCATATGCCTGACTGTACATATTCAATGCCTTAATACTAGGCAAGTTTTGTTTACCTTGTAACTTAGTAATTAGTGACTGATAGAATGGAAAATTGGATGGCAGGCCTTTCTGTCGCTTTAAATGTGATTTCCATTTTTAGTTTTCCGTTCTTGTTACTAATTCATTTTGTATGGTATGGTAGACTTTCAATGATAGTATTAATTACTTTTTGATGATGATAAACTAGCCTAGTTTTTAGTATGATGTCATCTCTCAACAGAAGACTTCGAAACAATTTAGTAAGACAACATTACTGACAAGCCAGCGTAGACAACATAGTCACAGACTTTTCGCAAACCGTGTATTTCCTGAGTAGAAAATATCAAATGTAAGAACGGAGACCGCAAATAATTTAGAAACAATTAGATCTACAGCAAATAAAGAATCTTTACATATTTCTTTTTAATTTATTGCATTTGTTTGCGTTTACCTTCACAATCCGGAAGTGTTAATCTACTACAATCATCATAGTGCGCATGTCGTATGAAACATTGTTGACAGATTAACAATCGGAAAAATTTATAAGTGGCATAACATCTAATCCGAATGTAATAGTGATCTTTGAAACTTTTTTCAGTCTTTAATATGTGAACAAAAATATTCTAGATCTTGCGATAGAACTGTATACCGACTGTAAACGGAACTTTTTAAATTGAATTCTGGCAACACCACGAAAAATATCGTCTGCTTTTGAGAATTACTTTCTCAACTTTTAAAAAAATAAAATAATGGTTTGTAATCTTGTTTATTGCATAGCCTAGTACTGTTAACTTTATAATCTTTTTTATTATTATTTCTAACAATACGGGAGACATGGGGCACCCCCACCATACTCTCTGGTCTAAGTAATAAATTTGTGATTGAAATCCTGTAAGGCTTAGTGTTAGCAGTTTATTTTACCAAAAATTACTTCTTTTCCGAAAGTGACATTATACTTATAGGTCTAGATCTATGTGTTTGTTAATATAAAATGTTAACCACTGATATTAATATTAGGCTTATTGTAAAAATGATTTTACAAAGAGGAAAAGTGTGTTATTTTCACGTGAATTTTCTGGGAGAGAAGTGTGTCTTTTTAAAATGTAAAATCACTGGGCCTCATGGACCTGAAGGCATTCTAAGACAAATGGCATACGATTGAAAATTTCATTTTGATATTTTATTTAGGAAATGAGAGAAATGGAGGCGGAGAGGAGGAGACATAAATCTTGGGATTTTCAAGTAAAGATAGAATAAAATTTTTTGTCTTTTTTTCCAGCTGTTCCAGATCTTCCATTAATGTCCCCAATTCCACTCATTTAAAGGTGGTCTAACCTGTCTAAAGGTAAATAAGACCATTTTAAGACTGTCAGAAAAAGGCATAGGTACGGTACTCTACTTTCCTACATACCTACAACCTGTTTTGGTTGCAGTGATTTAGTTTGGAATTGATTTATTTGCAGGAATCTACTTTATCTACATAATTTCAAGTTCAAGGGGAAAAGTCAGTCAAGTCACCCAAATTAGTAGTGAAACTAATACCGGTAGTATTGAAATGAGTGACCAAGTCAAAGAGTCCAGAGAACACACTTATAATATAGATAACATGGCTTAGTAAGTTTAAGTTTATGCTTTATTATTTGAAGTAAAGATCTGTTTGAGTAAATTCTGAAAAAATGCCTTTCTTTGGATTACAAAAGAGAGTCCTGTAAGCCTAGTTAAACTATTGCCTATTGTGTTACATAGGAATAAACATCTAAATATTTTCTGTATAAGTATTGCTGATATAGGTCAATTTCAGGTGTCTTTAACCAACTTCGATATAAAAATATGACATCTGGTCTTCCAGACTGATGTCGATTTATTTCAGGTGATGGGCATTATCAATATATTCTTACATTAGATTTTTAATACCAATGACACATTCTAACAGTGCTTGAATTTCTATAACAACAAAGTATAAAACTAAGATGTAATCTAACAACATAAAGTAAATAAAATGATTTTACCTCATTTTTTAAATTTTTCAGTTTAGGCAAAGAGGGATATAGTAATTTCAATATAGAATCAGAGTCTAATGAAATGAATTGTAACAATAATTCAGAATATATAGCTTCAACCTGTATAGAAGTCAATAGTAGTGATATTCAACAGTCTGATAAAAATTCTAGAAAACGCCAATTCGATGTAAGTTATGCTATTCAATTTTAAATGAAACAGCTGAGAGACCGAGTAGATATGAGTTAGACCCCTTTGCCAGAAAGCTTCTCTGTCCCGTGAATAGTTTGAATTTGTAAACAATAGAGATTATATTTTTTAAATCCAGTTAACAATAACAGGTGAAAGTTTTGTCTTACTCTTTTTTATTGTATACATATATTAGATTTGGTAAAATAGGACCAAAGTGGTTAGTGGTTATCCCTGTCCAATTGGTTTTCTTTCCTTTAATTTTAGGAAGATGGGTTTGTAATTCCGACAACACCAGATATACCACAATCATCAAGTAAAAATGACTTGACATATCCTCCTGGTGAAGGTAAGATCTAATGTAAAAACCATTAGACTTATGATCCTTCTTACTTTTGTGCTCAAATTTTGCTCAGAAATAAGTAAATAATTGTATACTTTAAGCTGAGATATCTAACTATTGTATGATATAATGTATTATTTTGTTTGTAAAGTTTAGGAGGTTTTGGTGAATATTATGTGACGTATAATGATGAAACTACTAATCAACACTTATATAATAATGAAGATCCATTAATAACGAATACTACTCGGTATGAAACAGCTGTTGATTTACTTAGGGGTAGGTGAACATGACATGATGGTGATGAGTTTTACATCCTAGTTTTCTGCTTTTTATACACCCACAAGCAATAACTCATACTCAATATTATTCAGTATCACTCTAAAGAGTTCAAAGAAGTGTATGACTGAAGGTTAAACATTTCATACTGGTGATTGTTACTGTACTGCCAAATATGTTTAATCCAAATCAAAGCTACCAGTGAGTGTATGCCTGGCAAGCTATCTTTAAGTTTATCACCAGGTTTATGAAATAATTTCATGAAATAAAGCACCTTCACAATATCTGGAACAATTATGGTTGAATTGAAGAAAACAATTACTTTCAGATAAAGCTGAAGAATTTAAAATGGTCACGTTAGAAGGCTGCAGTGAATTTGGGTAAGCTTCCAATCTTCAGGTACTATGATATAAATAATCCCATTAATTCTGTGACTGTTACATTTTCAGATGAAAAAAACCCTAAAACAATGCAGAAAAGCACTCTATAATATATGAGTACTAAATTTGATTGAATTAATAATTATTTGTACCACACAAAATGGTCCAGTCAGATGATCCTGAAAATTGATAGGGATCATCTTCTTAATGACATTGACCCACAAAATAAAAATCAAAATAATGAGCTTCGTTTCAAAAACATCTGCTTTTACCAAATATTATTCGATTTTCAATGGGGTTCATCCTTGGGTGATTACAAACAACCATACCAAGTTTTGTCAAAATCAGTCATTAATTGTGCCTTGTAGAGTAATAGTGGATGGACAGATGGACATGAGTTTCATGTGGGGCGTGGGCTTATAAAAAGCAAAAGAATCTATAATGATTTGTTGCCTGTAGAGTGAGCATGAGTTTCACAATATTGTCATTGTCATTATGAAGATGATCCCTATCGATTTTTGTGATATGAAATTTTCCCCTGAAATATTGTCCGACTTGTGCATCTCGTGCTCACTCTAAAGGCTATAATTCTTTAAAGATTCTTTTGATTTTTTATTTTGTAGGTCAATGTCATTAAGAAGATGATCCTTATCGATTTTCAGGATCATTTGATAATTTTTCACCAAAATATCATTTTCTTTCTATTTTCAGAGACAGTGAGAATTTTGAATCATTCTGTGCCTCCAGATTAGATCAACTGATAGCCGATGCTCAGAGTTTAGAAGAAAACTTGAAAAAACAGAAAGATATGCTGAGGCAAAGATTAGAATTTATATCTCGTACCTTACAAGTACCTTGAATAAATACACAGCAGGGTGGCCATATTTATAATACCAAATATATAGACTGGCTAAACTTAACACAGAAAATATCAGATATAAGGAATTTTACATCAACCATATAATTATTTATAACTTGTTAAAATTGTTGTTATTGTTATTAAAGGGTTTTCATTTTTCCTGTTTTTATGACTTTACTATAATAAAAGACCAAAAAGAAAATTGCTAGAAATCTTGCCCTTTTACACAAAAATCTTATGATCCAAATTATTTAGAGTCATATATTAACACTTACATTTTCATGATTACAATGAATTTGTTGCTTAATTTTTTGGGAAAAGGTAGCCTTTATCTGAGTGATGTGCAAATCAGGAGTTGAAGAAGTGTAAAACTGTAGAAAAAAAAAACAATCTAAGCATGTACTGATTATGACTTTATTTTCTTAATTATAAGAATGAGTCAGAAAACTGAAGTCTTCATTATGAGGAGTATCTAAATTTCTATGCGGCACATATGACTTCACTTTTGATATTTTTTCTTTAGCTGAAAATATTAATGTAATGTCAAGACCAAAAGTAATGGAATTCAAACTACTAGAATAATTCATGATCAAAGTAAATTTAAGTGTGTTATTTCCATTAATTGTATACTGATAACCTTTGTAGATATATTCTTAGAATATTGGATTTTTAGAATTTGGTTTTATTTTAAACATTCTTTACCTTGCACAATCATTTTTACAATTTCTGTCTTAAATAATCTGTTAAATTTGTGTTTCCTGGTCAATTCTGAAAAGTAAATAAGGCACTGTCAAATTTAATTGATTTTTCAACAGTGAAGAAGAGCTAAAGTAAGGAATATTTACCAGAAACTAAACTCTCAAGTTCTTCTTTTTCCTGATTTTTCTCCTCTGTTAATTTCTCTTGTAAACTTTTAAGATATCTACAAAATAGAAAACAAAACAATTTTACCTTTAGTTCTCAATGTTTCATTTAGTGTTATCTTATCTGTAATAAAATAAATTTTATGTCCATTTTCAGAGGCAGTATTCTTTTAAGTGTAGCAGAAGAGATCAAAATTTGGCTCCAGAACAGTCACTGAACACAACTTGCACTATGTGAAACTGAGCATCACATCAATGATCCCCGTGATCCAAACTCCAGTACTTAGCTCTGTAATTCTGTTGTCAACTACTGGCCCTCCTGCAATGTTCATTACCAGTCAACGGTTAAGATCAAGATGCAGGACAGTGGCCTCAAGGAGTTTTAGAGAATAAGCTCAAAACAAGTGGTTGCCTAGCAACATCCCTGATAAATTTTAAGTATATCACAGATGATCAAATCGTACCAAAATCTAATTTGTCTAAGACATTGATGATATAAACAAACACAAAAATTTTTATAACCTTCTGCTATAAACTGTCACCTCCATCGCATTAACAAGCCAACAAATTTTGATACATTTTTATTAATTCAATAATTCAAATTCCATTCATCAAAAAATCTTCAATTTTGAACTTGACCAAGATATCATTAAAAATCACACCAAATTTCATTTAAATTGGATGCAAACTAGTCTTAATTGTTTTCTCAAACAAATTTTGACACATTTTTGCTTAGTCAACAGCAATAACACTAAAAATGCTCATCAAAAGATCGTCCGATTATTAAAATTAGATAAAAATTGTAGCCTTTATTGTGTTCACAAAGCAACTGTGGTCAAACAATACAAACACTATGAAATAAGCGTTCCCAACTATCAAATATTCATAACAGGATTACTGTACGTGCAAGGCAAGACATCTGCACATTGGACTCGTTTCAAAACAACCAAATTGGACCAAAATATTATGCATGGCTTTGTATATCAATATTGTATAAGAAATCCTACTTGTTAAATGGAAACAACAGGAATTACATTATTTACTAAATATTGACAATTCAGGTATACGCACATATACAATCATGTAACATAATTATTTTCAGTCTTATTAGTCTTCAATATTAAATAAAGATAGCTTGCCAGGTAAGGTAATATACGCCTACTGGCAGCTTTGATTTTAAACAAAAATATTTGGCAGTACAGTAACCGAATGAAATATTCCACCTTTTGAACTTTTTGAACAATCGAGAATTTTGTGCTAAACGGCAATAACTCATTAAATATTTTTTTGATTTTTGATTACAAACAAGGTTCCCTCAAAATTCGTCAAGAATTATGCCTTCTAGACTGTTTACAAGCTGAAAATGGAATACATTTTTAAACTAATACTAAATATTTTTCTGTTTTCCTGATTTGCAATAGGACTCAGTGTTTACAACCATTTCAAGAACAAGGAAAATAACTGATAAATATTGTTCGATTTGTCTATTTATCAATAATGTTCATTCTTGGGCGATTACAAACACTCATATCAAGTTTCGTCAAAATCTGTAAAGAATTGTGCCTTCTACAGTGTTTATGAGCAATTGTGGATGGACGCCACTATACGCCCATATGTGGGTGTATAAAAACCACAATTTCTTACCTACCTATGTTCACGTCCATTATCAACTTGAATAGCTTTAAGATCTAACAGAATTATTTCCAATTGTCTGCTGATTTCTTTACACTCCATTATATTCAGCTTTGCTTTTTGTTCATTTCTTTCCTGCAGGGGTTGTGCTGGAATAAAACTGCAGAAAAGTATTTCCTAATGATGATATCCAAATTTTAACCCTTTAATGGAGGTACAAAACTATTGTGATTTTTTTCTTACATGGTTCTGGATGCTGCAAAAAATTATGCCCCAGTTTACGTTGCATATTTTGCAATATTTATAACATGACAGTTTAGGCATCAAGCGTTGCATAATAATGTTTGTACCTTGATAATCTAAACATGATACCCTCAACTTGATTATTAACTTTTTTTAACAGTTGTCTCATCAGTTCATACTCCCCCTTCAATCTACTGGCCGTTACCTGTAAAAAATTATGTAGTTATAAATGTGTACTAGATCAAGACAAACCATAATAGCACCTGTTTTGCTAGTGATTTTCTTTTTTTTTTCTCATGTCTATTCTGTAGTTCAGCCATGTACTGTGCTTTTTACTACATATTCACAGTCCAGCATTAGTCCTTCAGTGTGACAGTTCATGACAGCCAATCAAATCGTGGAAGGCTAGTTATGTCTAGCTAGAGTGCTAAAAGAATTCAACTAGTGTCTAGGATATTACTTCACACTGACCAGTGGCAATAGTGACACTGTCAGTGTCAGTCACTGAATCCGACAACGGAACCTCGACACCGCCAGATACCAGATTGATCCGAAGATACCAAACCAAACCATCCATCTGTAGCCATCTGCAAAGTGGCAACCAGACTCCGGACCAACAATGTACTACGAGACCATCAGTTTAACGCCATTAAATGTCGCTGCGGCCACGTTGCCACAAGGTTGCATGTCCTCATTCAATGCACTGAAATAAAACCCACTCGTAAGCCACTGATAGAGTACCTGGAAACCAACGGCATACCACTCACCATACAGAATGTTTTGGCTCCACCCACACCATCCAGGGCCGAGTTTCACCGATATGTCATTTGACCCGCCCAGATCTAACAAAGAACCAACAACCAAACCAACAACACAGAATCATCCAATTTGAACGAATCCAACTACCAACTACTACGACTACCAACAACTACCTAGTTTGCGATATCAGCATCCGCTGGAAGTGAAGGTTAACTTGTCAACTACCTACCTACAAACTAACTGTCATTCGACCCGACCAGATCTAACGAAGAATCAACAACCAAACCAACAACACAGAATCATCCAATTTGAACCAATCCAACTACCAACAACTACCTAGTCTGCGATATCAGCATCCACTGGAAGCGAACGTTAACTTGTCATTTACCTAACTACCTACCTACAAACTAACTGTAAGTGAAAAAGATAAGAGATTTACATTGAAGATACTTACTTTATTTTGAAAACTAATTTGATCAAGGCCAATGTTCATATTTTGCGCCACATCCTCCATTTTCAATTTTCTTTTTTTTGTCACGTGACGTGGTTAAACCATAGAACTGTAACTGGTTTAACAAAACTTGAGTCACTTCACTCGCAGTTCTATAAATACATGAAAGTCCACATCCAACGTAGTGTGAGGTGAAAATAGTTCTTTAGTTTTTTGCTTTATATACATGGAATCAATGATCAATATGAAATAATTTATAGTTTAAGTTAGTAAGTTTTCATTACTTCCCTTAGCAGAATCTTCTATTTTGAAAATCGGAAATATGTTTAAAATTGGCGGGAAACATAAAATGAAAGTAGAGCTACCTACTAAAACTAAAGGAAACTTTTTTTTTTGCTCCAAATGCCGCAGTGACCTTTGCTATTTTATCGTAAAGATACCGAAGCACTGTAGTCAACCTGTAAGAAGGAGCGTTGCTTTTACCCATTTACACAAATTTATCAGAATACTAAAAAGTAGAGTAGATCTTTCTTTTTGTGTCTCATTAATATTACATAGAACAGTGGTGTAACCTATTTTCGTGGATACAAGGATTCAACATCGAATTTCGTCAAAGTTAAAAATAAAATAAAATTTTTATGTCCTAGTTGTCTCCTCAGATATTCTACAAAATAATTAAAATTGGTTTATTTCGATTTTCTTTATGAATCCTTCACTTTAACCCATATTTCATGAGCAACCAACTCGGCAACAGCGGCAACACGCGTCACCTATTTTCGTGTACAATGTTTGGTCTATAAATAAGTCGAGAAAAACACGTTGTATGGATAACGGGTGGTATAATTAACTTCTCTTAGTATTTATCTTTAATATCAATTCATTATAACTAGTGACAATTCCTTCAAAGAACCACGATTTAAAAAAAAAATAGTGACTGACATAATAAGATACGTAGCGTGATTTATTGCTAAAAGTCACTGAAACAACATAGGAATATGGTCCACTTTGTGTTCCATAGAAATTTTCTGCTGACACGGAATCCGCTAGTTGATCACGTGATTTCATTCGTTAGACTACATTCTAGCAGACAACACTTGGAATTCCGATTACCGCTTGGGATTATAAGGAAATTCGGCCGTTAAAAAATGGTGACGTATCTACTAGCTGATATTGTACAGAAAACCCATGTTTATCAAAAAAAAACTAATGCGAAGGTCGCTCATGTAAATTATTAATCATTTCCGGAAATCCACGAATAATAGGTTTCCACGAAATTAGGTTACTTGACTGTAATCGTTGTTTTAACCAATTTTTATCCTAATAATCTGCTTTTAAGCCGATATAGATATTTCAAATTATGCAATAAAAATCAGCTTGTGCTACTTTTAGTTTTAGGTGAAGAGAAAAAGCACAGGGTAAGAAGAATTCACCATGGGTAAGAAAATTAAAGTGAAATCACCAGCCAAGCCATCAAAAGAACTAAAAGTCATAGATGACAACCCAACTTTTATGGTTCAGAATATACTGAGAACTAAACTAGCTCAGTTTACACTACCTGATGATTTAACTGGCCTAGAGAAAGAAAAAAGGTATGTTTACAAAGTTGGCTTGAACCATATAAGCAGGAAAGTAGACTAGTTTTCTACCCACTTGTGGATGCAAATTTGAAGAGTTGCATTGATTAACTATACAAAATAACATGATAATATAGAAATTAACTCAACATATGAACATTTATCATCATTTTTGTAAGAAATGAGTAAGCTTATTTAAGAAACATATTTTTGCAAACCTCCTGCTCTCAAAAGTGCTATGTCTTCTCTTTTATTTCCAGTAAATTATATGATTTGATAAATAGAACAGCATCTACAGGAGAAAGTAACTCTGTTTTAGTTATTGGACCTAGAGGAGCTGGGAAATCATCAGTATGTATCAGAATTTTATTAAAAGATTCGTACTTTTAAAAGATAAATAATATAAATTTCAACAGACATGTTGGCACATATAAAAGGGTTTCTCATCTGCATTAAACTCTTCACAGTCCACCCAGAAATCATAATTGGTAACTATCAATTAGGAATAGAAGAGCAATATTATGTGGTAGAAAATGTATAGTTAGACTATTACTCGTTTTAAATAACTACAGAGTATTGAATAGAACCATATTGTAAATTTCAGCTTATAAGAAAAGTTCTAAGTGAGTTGAGACAACAAAAAAATTTCTCAAAAAATTTACTTCAAGTCCATTTAAATGGTAAGTTAAAAGACTCCCACAGATACAATGGTTCATCAACTTTCAGTTTGACTGTAGGGACAACTCGGCCCACTTTTTATGACTAACTCAGCCCAAACATTTTTTCTTTTATTTTTTATGACAAACTCGGCCCTCTTTTTACTGGACTCAAACCAAATAAGGGTTATTTTTCATGAATTTTCACGAGACTTGGACCAAATAATGATTATTTTTTATGTCAAACTCGGCCCACTGATGCAAACTGGGACCACTCATATTTTATACACAAATTGAAAGTAGAATGCTGAGGACAACTCAAGGGTTCTATGTTAAAAGAAAAGACGTAGGATGGTCCTGAAAAGGACCATTTGTTATGTTGTTCTACATTTGAATATAAATACGTATTTGAAAGATTTAATCACTCTTTAATGAGAGTTTTGACAAGGGCTGTTTGCATGGCCCTAAAAAGAGTTGTTTAGATGGTCTAAAAGGAATGTCCAAGGGTTCTGACTACACTCGCACCACACTTCTTCAGCAGTTGGTTGGTGCTCATACTAATCTCACTGTAAGCCGACCATAACTGGAATAACTTCCCTTGGATGGTGCGGGTCTGCTTTCGTTGGTATCGTTTTTGTCAAGTTAATGAAAAAGCTTGCAGTATTTATACAAATGTTATACAATGTATTGCCGTTTGATTTCTATCAGGTTTGCTGCAAACAGATGACAGGATAGCTCTTAAAGAGATAACTAGACAGTTACAACTTGAGAATACAGTGGGAGACAGAGTATTTGTAAGTTTTTAATCTTCTTTGTTATTACTTTAATCGTTTTGTTTCATTATGAGGTGAGGTATAACAATTACAACAATGTTAACTTGATATTGAAATCATCAAAATCACCGTTTTGACACCTTGAACTTCATCACTTATCAAAGATGTATGTGTTTTTTTAGGGGTCATTTTCTGAAAATTTACAGTTTCTTTTAGATGCATTAAAAGCAGGTAAGAAATTATTCTGTTTAGCCTTTTATGATCATTAATTTTGTCATTTGGCATTGTTCAAACAATTTATATTAGGATGCTTAGTGAATGCTAGCAAAGCCATGAGTCAAAAGACAAAATCCATGACAATTGTATAACAATTTTTTAATAAATAACCAATTATTAGTTATTTCAAGCAACCAATTTCTATCAGTCTAGGAAGTAATTTAAATTCTTGTCTTATTTCAGGAGATCAGAAGAGTAAGCCAGTGTTATTTGTTTTGGATGAATTTGATTTATTTGCTCACCACAGAAATCAGACATTACTTTATAATTTATTTGATATATCACAGTCAGCACAGACACCTATTTGTGTTATTGGTTTAACTTGCAGATTGGTAAGTACCATTATACAACTTGTCGATTAGTAATCACACTAATGAAAATGACTAATGAAACTCTTGAAATTGAAAAATTTGACTGATTGACTTAAGACTTGACAGAAGTGCCATTTTGGGGTGTTGATTTGACTCTTGAATATATGTAAAGTCTTCAGAAATGCTAGAAATGTATGAAACTAGCATGATTCCTTCAAAGATATCTTAAACTAGGAATTTCTTTTCCTATTTCTATAGATGTCTTATCCATGTATGGCAGTGTCTTAAAGAGACAGGTAGGCCATTTTTTTCACCAATCATACTTTAGTCTCAGAAACTGAATTGTTAGTTAAGCAAATCAGTTATAGTGTTCAAAGCTCACCGTCGAAATTGGAGCCTTCAAATGCATGTGTCCAGAATTATCTACAATTGAATGTTAAAATGACAACTCATCAATTTAAGATTTTCTTTAATATATAAAAAAGACATATATAGGAAAAGTGAGTAAAATTCCTAGTTTGAAGAATTTTTAAAGGAATTATATGATTTCCATACATTTCTAGTACTTCTGAAGACTATACTTACATATATTCACTATTAAAAAGTCAGTGAGCTGTGAACATTATATACTGATTATATTAGCTGAAAAATTTATGTTTCTGAGATTAAGGTCTGATTGTTAAAAAAATGGTGCATCTGTCCCTTTAAAGTAGATTTTCATTAGATGCTGGCAAGAATATTATCCTGTAAAAATACAGGCCTATATTTATTTGAAAATGATTGATTTTTATTGTAGGATGTTATAGAGTTATTAGAAAAAAGAGTAAAATCCAGGTTTTCTCACCGACAAATTCATGTTTTTAATAATTTAACATTCCAAGACTACTGTAAAGTGTGTAGAAACCTGCTTTATTTACCAACAGATTTTAAACATGAATCTTATTCACAGATCTGGAATTCGCATATTGATGTAAGTATATATATACTTGTTTCCAACATTTTGAATTCCTTAGATGATCTTGATATGCATGCTTCTTGGTGCCCTTGTGGTGCTCTGGCAACTGTGTATGGCACTTTTGTTATATATTATGATACATTACAATAGCAATGGGAAGAAGACCACAGTTTCCTCAATGTGTTTTAGGAATTACTTGAAGAATCTGTTGTACAGGATGTTTTAAAGAGACAGTACCATTTAAATAAAGATGTCCGTGGCTTACAAAATTTGCTGGTAGGTATTTATCTTTGGACGATGAAGACAATTTGAAATAGTTAAAATATGTTTAAATTATCCTATTTAGATTTAATTTGATACGCACATTGTACATTGATGAGATTTGGTTGTGCATCCGTGGGTATATTTTATCAAGTACCCGATACAGCAAAGTTTTTTCTTTTACTATTTTAAGATAGATCCCGTTTGTAAACTCTCTGAATTAAACCCCACATTGACAACCTCTGGTATAGTAGATTCATTTAAACAGATAACTACTGATTGTAAAGCTGCAGTGTTACATGGTAAGCCAGCACATTGATTTACATATTACAGTACATCAATTAACATTTTTAACTGCAAAATATTAAGTAATACATTTAAACACATCTGGTAAAATAATTTTGCTCCTGGCTTAACAACAACCCAGATAATTGCACAACGGCATGGCTGTTATGCCTTTTATCAATTAAGAAATTTGGTGTCCATGTTTTAATAATGCACCATGAATATCTATTGTAGGTATATCTATATTAGAATTATGTTTAATTATAAGTATGAAACATTTGACAGATATTTATGAAGGGGAACCATTTAATTTTGAAATGGTCTACAGTGGTAAGTACATTTTAAAGTAGTCTTCCTGGCATATATATACAACTAACAGGCTAATTTTGAGACAGTTTTTCTCTTTTGATTGGTCTGATGAAGACAGGAAACACTGTGGTATGCAATGTGGCATAGGCTTAAATTAAATTTTTATGGAGTTTTTTAGGAGTATAAAACAAGTTTTAAAAGTAATAATGTTTGAAGTTTATACCCACAAAAAAGGTGACTTTTAACTTAATTTTATTATTACCTTTTTCATCTAATTGTGTAAACATTTTCTGTTTATAATGTTTCATTTCAATTTCAGAATATTTGAAATTTGCTAGAAGAAAATCAGGAATGCAAATATTTGAAAAACCAGTAGTTCTTAAGGTATGTTTATAAATTACTCTCTGATGGTTAAAAAGATGATCTTAGCTAGAACTGATTTGTCAGTGTGTATTGATAACTCCAGCAAGTAGTGCTGTTTATTAATTTCATTTTAAAAATTCAGAATTTTGTGAACTTGTGAGATTGCTTTTTCAATGTGGGGGGGACCATGATTTATAAAAAAAAAAAAGGGTCGGACCGTAGCTGCGAATTCGATTGCAGAGCATAGCGGCATGACAACATTTCAGTTGAGCTGTTGACACCATTTTTTTTTTATAGCTCTCAGAAATATTATAGAAAGAAAGGCACCTTCTTGCATGTTACTGAATTTTCCAGTCATCCAGTGCGAATATGCGAATGATAAAATTCATTTCGTGTGCCCCTTCGTAACAACGCTTCTGTGAGTGGAGATAGGTCACCTTGTCCAACCCCCCGTGGTCTGAACTATTTTTTAATGCTTCGTTCGAACAAACTAAGATAATGTTTAATTTTCAGGCATTTGAACATCTGATGGCTTTAGAGTTAATAAAGAATTTAGATAGTGGTGGTAGTAGAATACAGAAAGAATATAGATTAATGTCTTTATTAATACATCCTACACAGATTATAGATGCTTTACAGAAATATCCTAATTGTCCTACCGAGGTCAAACAATGGGCTATAAGTGCTCTAGCTTAAAGTGTTGAAAAACACTTGTACTGACTGAACAGTTTACTTGACCTTCTCTATTAAGCTATCTTGAAAATAAGAGAACCTCAATACAATACATAAGTTAATATATTAGTCTAGAAAATAAATGAACACTGAATCAACATATCAAATGTCTGATTCATATATTCTTTTCTATTTGGACAGTGATAGAAAAGAAGTGCATTGCCCATGTCTATCAACATTTCTCGTCCGGATGATAAATGCAAAATGACTATATTAAAAGTAGTGTTGAAACGGTTAATCAGTTAACTGATTTCAGGTAGGATTTCACAGGTAACTTGGTCTGATTTGAGATGATTGACAGTCAATTTTAATAGAAGATAAATGAGCATTTTTGACAGAAAAGACTTTAAACTGGGTTTTTTTCAGTAGTAAATAAACATCAAAAACCAGTGTTATTTTTGTTGTTTGAATATTTGAGAGGTTTATTATGATGGTGTATGAATTGCGTTGCTTTTTGCTCATAGAACAAAAGGTTTTACTTTTATTAACTCTCCTCAGATTGGCTGTTTCTGCTTGTCAATCAGCTTCAAGCTTATCAATATTCCTGAGAATTAATTGCAAAAATAACATACACTGATTCCACAACATAAAACTGACCCATTAATACACGACAAAAACACTTCCATGTGGGCGTATATTATTCATTCATTTATATTTTATGTGGGCGTATAAAAAGCGTCAAATTTGGCTTGTACGCATGATAAAGACTACAGTTTTTATTTCATCACTTAAAAATTAAGAGGCTTGACCTACAATACATTAAAAAAATAGATTCAGCATATGTTGCCTTGTTCATTTCTGATTTTTTTTTTTTAAATAGAAGTTACAAATACAAGCAGTAGGCCTGAACTTATGTCAGCTTTAAAAGGCACAAACAGTTATATAATTTTCATATATCATTTATTTACAATTTTTTCAATGAAATAACAAAAAACCACAACATTAGCACTTTATATCTCAAGTAATACCATTCATGATTATATTTGAATTGTAAACCTTTATTGGGCAAAAACTTTATATTGGCAAAGATTTTTTTATTGCTGTCATGTTAGTTTTTCTTGGTTATAATGCTATCAATCTTAAAAGGGACACCAGTACGAAATATTCAACCTTCAGTCATACACTTCCTTTTGTGGCAATACTGAATATTATTACCAAGATTTGTCAAAATCCGGAATATGCCTTTAAGTATTTACAAGCTTAAAATTGAAAGCATTTCAAGAACAAGGTCAATAACATATGCAGAACATTTTTTTGGATTTTCAATAGGGTTCATCCATGGGTGATAAACAATTTACCAAATTTGGCAAGAATGGTGCCTTGTAGAGTGTTGACGAGCTAAAAATTGAACGTGTTATGAACAAGTGGATGCCTAGCAAGATACGACCATATCAGTATCTCAAGGGTAGGCACTAATCTGTGGCAAATAGTACCAAATATCTAAAGACATTGTTGATTTCAACCAACACAAAATTATATTGCCGTTGAAAGATAGAGGCTACAGCTTTTATCCAATCTTGATGACCCCCCCCCCCCCCTTTTACAGTTGTGTGTTTAAACATCAGTCAACATGTCAATATGTAACCATTTTCACTAGATGTAGATCTTCATAAACTTTAAATTGTATCACAGAAATTCAATATAGTTTCCATTCATGCTGATGCAGCCTAAAAAGATATTAAAAAAATTTGAATCTTAATTGATGACTAAGCTTACCCTGCTAATGACACCTGCTAGAGCACATCCCATTTATCATAATTTCCTTGAGACAATGAAAAAGCTAAATATTCCATATTTATTCCTACCTGCTGAGTTCCCAATGATAAGTATTCTGGAGTAGTAGCTGACTGATACTCATCTATTAACTGTTGTAACACTTCTCGTGAATTATCAAACTCATCTAAACTGTCTTGAAATATCCTCTCTTTACGAAACTGATCCATAAATGCCTCTCTTTTACGTAGTTTGTCAAACTGCTTTAGTGCTCTTTCAAATAACTACAAGCAGAATGCAGGATAAATGTTTTTTATAAGGTTTTGGTTTGTAGTTTTCTTAGAAACAAATCACTGGCAAATTTAACTTCTAATTTGGAAGTAGAAATTTAGACTTTTAAAGGTATTGTAAAGAGATTTTCTAAATTTTGTATATGTATCAGGACATTGACAGCATCAATTTGCACCATTCCAATTGTCAATCAGACTTGTGTGGTTCCTGCAAATCTATTAAAACTATGTGTTTGATGACATCACAAAGGGCCTCATAGAACAAAGCATATTTTGTGACTAGTGAACTGCTTTTTTATGGAATTGCAGGAACCACAGACGTCCGAATGAAAATAAGTATGCTGCAAATTGATGCCCTATTCAAACAAACAAATCCTAACAAATTCAATTCTGAGTAACAACAGAATACTTTGGATGACATACTGTAGAAAATGGAAAATAAAAATAACTTACTGAACATATACTGGTATGATTAGCTAACATTAAACCACTAACACGATGTGAAGTTTGTACATAAGGGGATTTACGTGACAAGGCAACCTGTATACTAGCTGGTCCCCATGGAATAAACTGAGCTAATTTTCTTTCTCTTATTCGTTGTAAACTTTTATGAACCTGAAAAACAAATTAACTTTGTCATTTTAATATTCTTTTTTTTTTTTTTTTAAACTAAAATCATCTTGTGTCACATGTAGTATTGACATAGACCAAACAAATACAATCTCATCAATGTTTATAACTCCAACCCAACAGACAGCACAACAGCTATAAATATATTTGTTATTGACAGAAGTGAAGAGAAATATAAGGCTGATGTTGATTGGTTATATACTGACCTGTGTAGGATCAACTTCTCCTTGTATGATATTTAATATAGATATATAACAGTGATTAGCCTGTCTATGGACTGGAGTTGATACCATCATATTTTTAGGTTGAAGTAATCTTCTCATGACATCTAAAACTGTTGTTTTTCTCACACTAGCAACCTACAACAAACTAGATTGTAATCTTGTACTATTAAGTGGAAAACTGTAGGGCTAGAATATAGAACTGATGGAAATGTGAGCTAGTTACCTGAGAACTGGTAGTTAAAGGTGTATAACCAGTCATTAGGAAATGTAATCTTGGAGTTGGAATTAAAGAAGCAATTAAACCAATCAAATCATTATTCATGTAACCAGGGTAACGAAGGGTTGTGGTACTTGTTGACATAACAGTTGAAACCTGTAATAATAAGAAACTTTTCTCATAGAATGAATTATATTTTTTTGCAATTCAAGTTGCTTTTTTTCTTTTTTTCAATCTAATTAAAGGAGCATTATGCGAAAACAATGTAAATTATACCTGAAAATCGCACAATAGCTTTCTGCCCCAAAAAGCATATACAGGTTAGAAAGTTAGTAAACCTTTTAAATAATTTTGGCGTTAAAAAATTAACAGCAGGTTTTTTTAAGTTAAAACTTACAGTTGAGTCTAGGGACACATTTCTCTAAATTTGGTAAATAGTTTTCATAAGTTTTAGCAACAAAATATTTAGACCTACTAAAAACAGAATGACCTTTTAATATGAAAAAAAAGCTTTACATGGGTCAGAGTTAGGCCCAATACACAAAGACATGGTCCTGTCTAACATTCAGCCCATGGTATTATTGAAAAATGTGGGAAATTCCTTATTTTGATCCCATTGCCTTTAGCCAATCCTATGGAGTCCATGTATTGCAGCATTAGGGATAATGTATATGATATACTTTACTATAATATAACATACCAACTGGTTAACCTGACCAAATGTAGGTGTATCAATATGTAATCTATCAGCTGCTATACGATTTAAAGCTGTATTATCTAGAACAACCTATAACAGACAACATACTGATACATTCAGCTGAGTATGACTGCTTTTTTTCTAGTACAATGATATAGAAACAGCTTTCACCTATTCTGTTATGTAGATTGACATTAAAAGGCAAAATATTCGCTTCATCATTAAAACGTAAAATCTATTTTGCTGAAGGAATTCGAAGGAAAAACTTCTTACCACACAATCAGCATTTTGAGTTAGCCGTTTTAATGTTAAAATAGAATTATATGGTTGAACAACTACATCACTGACTTCATCTATATTAGGAAATACAGAATAGGTCTGTATCAACTTCTTAGGAAACCTTTATCAAAGAAAATTACAACATTCAGATAGTCAAATATATTAAATTAAACAAAACCATTTGATTCCAAAAGTGAAGCCGGCCCTACACTACACGATTTTCCATACAATTGTGTACATTACAACATGCCAAGACATCATAGAGCAATCATATTGAAGTGTATTGCAAGCAATCGTGCTTTCTAAGCCCTAACATTACACCACACATAAAGCAATGTCGCAAGCCAGTTTGCGTCATCAACACTGACAAAGATAGCTTGCCAGGCAAGGTAAGATACGCCCACTACCAGCTGTCAGAAACAAAATCTTTAGTGGCTTAATAATAAATTTTCAAATAATCTTAACATCATCCATAAGTCAAGGCAAAAACCTGAAACAGTTCATCAAGTTATCATGAAAATCAAACATGAACAATGTCTCATCGCTGTACACACAAGGGCAATAACTCGGAAACTGTTGATTCGATTATTACCAATTTCTAACTTGACCAAGATCTCATCATGCATATCTAGTTTTATCAAGATTGGATAAAAACTGTAGTCTCTATTGTGCCTGCAAGCTGAATTTGACAAGTTTTTATTAAGTCAAGGGCAATAACTCCTAAACCCTAAATCCGATTGTTACCAATAACGAACTCGAGTGAGATCTCATCAATATATACATGCATACCTAGGTTCATGTCGGTTGGATAAAAACTGTAGTTTCTATCGTGCCTACAATCGAAATTTGATTGGTTTTTACTAAGTCAAATTTAACACATATTTACTAAGTCAAGGGTAATAACTCTGAAACCGTTCATCCGATTATTACCAATTCCCCACTTGACCGAGATCTCATCAATTTATAGATGCATACCAAGTTTCATCAAGATCGGATAAAAATTGTAGTATGCATCAAGATCGGATAAAAATTGTAGTCTCTATCATACCTACAAGTCAAATTTGACTAATTTTTACTAAGTCAAGGGCAATAACTCTGAAACTGTTTATCTGATTATTACCAATTTCGAACTTGACCGAGATCTCATCAATATATACAGTGGTGTAACCTATTTTAGTGGATATAAGGGTTCAACACCGAATTTCGTCAAAGTTAAAAAAACGAAAAAAAAAATGTATGTCTTAGATGTTTCCTCAGATATTCTACAAAATAATTAAAATCAGTTTTTTTCGATTTTCTTTAAGAATCCCTCACTTTGACCCATATTTCATGAGCAACCAACTCGGCAACGGCGGCAGAATGCGTCACCTATTTTCGTGTACAATGTTTGATCTATAAATAAGTCTAGAAAAACACGTTTTATGAATACCAGGTGGTATAATTAACTTCTCTTAGTATTTATCTTTAATATCAATTCATTATATTCATGACAATTCCTTCAAAGAACCACGATTTAAAAAATAATAGTGACTGACAAAATAAGATACGTAGCGTGATTTATTGCTAAAAGTCACTGAAACAACATAAGAATATGGTCCACTTTGTGTTCCATAGAAATTCTCTGCCGACTCGGAATCCGCTAGTTGATCACGTGACTTCATTCGTTGGACTATATTCTAGCAGACGACACTTGGAATTCCGATTACCGCTTGGGATTATAAGGAAATTCGGCCAATAAAAAATGGTGACGTTTGGTAATAAGTGAAATCCGCCATTTTGTATTTGTCAAAGTATACATTAATACATTTTACCTTGCTTGAAACTACTGGATTCATTCTACTAGCTGATATTGTAGAGAAAACCCATGTTTATTAAAACAAACTAGCGGAGGTCGCGCAAGGTCGCTCATGTAAATTATTAATCATTTCCGGAAATCCACGAATAATAGGTTTCCACGAAATTAGGTTACTTGACTGTACATGCATACTAAGTTTCATCAAGATTGGATAAAAACTGTAGTCTCTATCATGCCTACAAGGCAAATTTAACACATATTTACTAAGTTAAGGGCAATAACTCTGAAACCGTTCATCCGATTATAACCAATTTCAAACTTAACCGAGATCTTATCAATATTTACATGCATACCAAGTTTCATCAAGATCGGGTGAAAACTGTATTCTCTATTGTGCCTACAAGGCAAATTTGAAGCATTTTAACTAAGTCAAGGGCAATAACTCTGAAACAGTTCATCCGATTATTACCAATTTTGAACTTGATCAAGATAGGATGAAAACTGTAGTCTCTATCGTGTAAAAAAAAAGGCAAATTTGACGCATTTTTACTAAGTCAAGGGCAATAACTCTGAAACCGTTCATCCGATTATTACCAATTTCGAACTTGACCGAGATCTCATCAATATATGCATGAATACCAAGTTTCATCAAGATCGGATGAAAGCGTTTTTAAGAACAAGGGCAATAACTTGGTTGATAACACAACACTCACACTTCGTCAAAATCCATTAAGAATTGCAGCTTTTAAAGTGTTCGAGAGCGAAAAATTATACAAGTTTTCAATAACAAGGGCAATAACTCATACTAAATATTTTTCTGATTATCAATAGGGTTTGATTACCATCAATCATACAAAGTTTCATTAAAGTCAGTCAAGAATTGTGTCTTCTAAAGTGTTTACGAGCAATTGTGGACTGACGGACATGGGTAACGACAATATACGTCCTCTATTTCATGTGGGCGTAATAAAAAAAAATATAGAAGATATATTCATATACCTATCATTAAGTCTCTCTAAGATATAGGATCCCATACCAGAACCTGTACCACCAGCTATAGAGTGACAGATAACAAAACCTTCTAGACTATCACTACCATCAGCTTCTCTATCAATAATATCAAATACTTCTTCATAAAGTCTTTCTCCCTAAAATATTTTAATAGTACATGGTAGAAACTGAACAGAAAAAGTATGGGGTTTGGTTATTAAGCTCCCAACTTTTTTATTCAATTATAATCAAGTGCTTTTAATGGCAAAAATTGTTCATAAAGAAACAAGAACACAAAGCAGCAATAATATAATCTACCTACCTGTGAATAACCACTAGCCCAATTATTACCAGCTCCTCCTCCATGTTTAGATAGATAAACATTTTCAGGGTTATATAAATTAGCATAAGGTGAGTTCATAATGTGATTTATAACTCTAGGTTCTAAATCTAATAATACAGATCTTGGTATGTAGTGGTCATCATCAGCCTACAGAACAATAGATGATGTCATTGTATATATCTTATTTATATGTGAAACTAAGACTTTTGTTTTAAGATGTTCACATTTTTACATCCAAAGGCAAACATGACATATCCACTAAAACTGTCTCATTATTACAGTTACAGTTAATCACTCTAATCATCAAGGCTTGAAATAATGCCAGAAATTACTTTTTCATGTTCCATAATGATAAACTCAACTTTTGTTACCTCTACCAATGACCAACAGCGCTGATCATACACAATCACCCAACAAGAAAAAGAAAAATCAAAAAATCATAAACTCAACTTTTGTTAACTCTATCAATGACCAACAGCGCTGATCATACATAATCACCCAACAAGAAAAAGAAAAGTCAAAAAATCATAAACTCAACTTTTGTTAACTCTTATCAATGACCAACAGTGCTGATCATACACAATCACCCAACAAGAAAAAGAAAAGTTTTTATACATAAAGTACAGAAATTGTCCATCTCAAAGTAAATTGTATCAGATATATGCTGAAATTGTACCAGATATGTCCGTGTCCAGATGGTTATTTCAAGCCTTGCCAATCATGTATGATCATGTCCAACAGAACCATGTGATATTATTTAAAAAGGAAGAATACATTACCTTAATACATTAAAATTCATGCTTATACCTGATAAAAGAAGACATCTTTTCTATCTGTTCCTTCTGTAGCATAATCTTCTAACATACCCTCTATCAAAAAACATGGTTTAAGATTTTCAAAAAATATTATTTCTAACAAATTGTTTTAGAGATTAGTAATATCCAATCACAGCCACAGTCATATACGCCCACGACGGCATGCGGATGGTAAAAACGAAACATCTATTTTAAGTTTCATCAAAATCGGTTGAAAACTAAGAGTATTAGCATATTCAAGATTTTGAGGCAAGGGCAATAACTCTGCTTCTAACGGTCGAAAATAGCTCACATTTGAACTTGATTTTCGTGTTATGAATATGTTTACTCATACCGAATTCCATTTGATTCCAAACAAAAAATCTAGTTTTTACAAACAAATGCTGATGGACGGACGGACAGATGGGGTGTTTTACGAGCAATTGATGTTGATAGAAGCACTTACTGTACAGAGGTTAAAGGGCGATAACTCCTCGAAACTAACGTAAGAGGCCTAAATCTTGAAAAAGCCTGAAATTTAATCAGAAGTAAACTAAAACCTTTCGATTTAGGTCCAATAACACCCATTTTAAGTTTCAACAAAATCAGTTGAAAACTAAGAGAGTAATAGCATATGTCAAGATTTTGGGCAAGGGCAATAACTCTGCTTCTAACAGTCGAAAATAGCTCAAATTCGAACTTGATCTTTGTTTTATGAATATCTATACACATACTGAATTTCATTTGATTCCATCAAACGAACGGACAGACGTACTGAGCGACGGACGGACGGACAGACAGGGGTGCCAACAATATACGTCCACGTAGAGAGATGTGGGCGAATAAAAACAGATTCAAAATAAAATTATAAATTTTCCCTAGTAGGTTAAGTAGGTTTAAACGAAAATCCATCCATCATTCAGATTAGTGTAACGTAGATATTAGCAGATCTCTGTTTATCTGTCTGCGTTTTAGCTTACCAGGACTAATGCCATGTTCTGCACATAGTTGTTTCCAGAATTCCATACCAACTGAAATAAAAACATTCTGTTTATGGTATAGATGTAAAAAAAAATCACTTTCTTTTCTTATAGCAAATTTTGTTTGTAAATGAATTTCCGTATCTGTATCAAAAGAATACAGATATTCTAGGAATGAAAAACATAAGAAGTTTTTGAATCTAAAAATGCATGACATCACAAATGCATAGACTACATCATACCACATTTAGTAAAATAACAATTTCAATCTCTGAGAACATGTTAGAATTGCTGAAGTTTAATTTTAGGGAAGTTATTTCAAGCTGCATGATTATTGGAATAATTATAAAAAAACTTGGCATGTAAATGTAGTTTGTTATCCAAGGGGTCCGCTGCAGGGCTTGGTATTGATAACTAAATAGACATTGATTATCAACAACAGGCTAGATCCTTCCCATCAATAATCAATTAATAATCCAATAAAAAATCTTCTTATTAAAAGCATATCAAAGTCATTCCTTTGGCTATTTTTATGTTGTAGTTGTATAATTATATGAATTTTCATTGGCTTGAACAACTATCATTATTACTGAAACAAGGTTATGTGCTGAAGGGAAACTTATTACTACTAACTACTACTACTAGTAATGGATGACTGACCTTAGGAAGGGTACAAAGGAGAAAACATAACTTAAACATTTAATTGGTTATGAAACTATAATTATAATCGAAATTATTACAGTGGTGCAACATTAAGATACAGAAATTTTTTTTTGTCTTCCACAGATGTTTCTTCAGATATTCTATAAAATAATTAAAATTGGTTTGTTTCGATTTTCTTTATGAATCCCTCACCTTGACCCATATTTCATGAGTAACCATCTTGCAACTGCAAAATGTGTCACCTATTTTCATGTTCAATATTTGATCTATAAATAAGTCGAGAAAAACATGTTGTATGAATACCAAGTGTTTTAACTTCTCTTAGTATTTATCTTTAATATCAAGTCATAACAACTAATGTCAATTCCTTGAAAGAACAATGATTTAAAAAATAAAAGATAATGACTGACAAAAAAAATATATAAGTAAAATGTAAAAGTATTTTATTGCTAAAATTCAATTTTTCCGCAGACATGGAATTCGCTTGTTTGTCACGTGACTGTTCACTGGAATATATTCTAGCAGACGACACTTGGAATTCCGATTAGAGCTTGGGATTATAAGGAAATTTCATCATTAAAAAATGTTGACATTTCACCATTTTGTATATATGTCAGAAATACATTAAAATAAATTAGACATTGCTTTGAAAAAATTGGAAAAATTCTGCAGTTCGATGTTGGAGATAATCCATGTTTATCAAAACATGCAAATGCAAAAGTCTTGCACGGTCAGACATGTAAATCATTTATCATTTCCGGAGATGCATGAAATTAAGTTTGCATGAAATTAAGTTTGCACGAAATTATACAACTTGGCTATAATTCATAGCACCGAAACTGAAAGCCTTATCAAATAATTTACAGTCATAATGATGAGTGGTGTGGAGGGAAAGTACATTTCATTTAATAGAATACTAGATCATAACAATCGAAACGCTTAATAGAATCATTTCTTTTTCTTCTTCAAAGAAAAAAATTATTAGATCTAGGCCAAACTTCTAAAATCAACTTCATTCTTCATGACTTCATCTTTTTTTTATTTATTGTTTTTTTTTTGTCATGCCAATTTTGAGTGTCTATCTATGGAGAGGGAAAGAAAAGGTTGTAATCAATGGGAATGAAATAAGCTCAGCGTACTTTGATTGCCACATTGTCCCAGCTGAAGAGTTATGATTTCTCTCGGCATCTTTATATTTTTGATGCAATAGACAACTTTGTAAACTTGTCAATTCTTGAAAACGGCGGTAAACTCTCCGGAAATAAACAAACCGAAAGATGTTAGTACCGAGGCAAAACATTATTAGGTCTTCAGATGATATAAATTTGTTTTGGCATTTTTTTTTTTATTTCAAGCAAATATCTGATGAGAAATAGAGTGGACATTGAAGACAATAATAAATTTATCTAAAAAAAAATCAGATTTCTGCTGACTGATGACGTCATATCAAAACAAAAATATTGAAGATAGTTTACGGCTGTCAAAGGAATGTTTCCAGAATTCGACGAATGATAGTTAAAAATGGAAGCCCAGCAACAGGCAGAAATTGAAAGGAATGTCAGAATTAAAGAAAAATGGGTTGCTGACACCTTAAGTCCTATCGAACCCGTGGTTATAAGCCTTCAAAGTTTGCTAGTGTGGGAGAATCCTAAGAAAAGTGCCCTTCTTTTCACTGCAGTGCACCTGTCATTTTGGTGAGATTTAAACTTTGCTATTATATGATCCTTTATATGCTTTGTATATTAGAAATCACATCCGTAGACTTTACAAATTGTAATTGCAGGGCGTGCTTTGTTTTCGTTCTGGCTATTTTTTTTTTTTTTTTCTTCACTCCGGGAGCTCAGTTCTCGGAAACAGCAACAGATATGGAAAAACGGATTTCGCCACACTTTCTAACTCTTGGCTAACTGCGTACTGAATGTAAAACGAAAATTTTCTGAGCAACATGAAGCGACGTTAGCAACAAACAGAAAGTGGGCTCTAGTGGGCGTAATTATCGACCGATTTTGCTCGGGTTTCCTTTATTCTACTTCTTATAACAATGGACACATGATGGCAGTTGAAAAAATTTGATTTTCGCAAATTAGTTCGATACTTTTTTTTGTCGAAATTAATCGAAATATGCTATTTCGGTTGGTATTTGTCGGACAGATTTGAAACTTATATAGTGTAGACAGCCAGCATGGGGGAATAAAAAAACGCATTCAAAATTTTTGCATCACTTCCAGTTTCAAAGTTAGTACTTCCGGTGACGTCACTTCCATTGGAATTCAGTTATGACCAAACTAACATATGCATGATATTAGTGTCATTAATACAAACCTATTTAACTAAAAAAATACTTACCGGAAGTAATAATTCGGCTGCCATTTTGGTTTGCCTCATTTTGCGAAAATTCCTATTCAGAAGCCATTTTTTAACCGATTTGTGTCATTTTTGTGTCAAACGATACTATAAATGTTTGTCTAAAATTCGTGGGAAGCAAAATTTTGATTTTCGGTTTTGCCTTTTTTAAACGAACGGATGTTTTTTTTCAAAGTTTGAAGTCGTATATCTCGTGACCTTGACCTTTGATGACCTTCATATTAACTGTGATGATAATTTGTGACCTTGTCTATCTGATGACCTTTTGACCTTTGGGGTCAGACAACTCTTTCCCATTTTATAGGGGTCTAAATATGGACCATTTTGAGCCTTTAAAGTGCTATATCTCGGTCCCTAATAGAGATATGGCAATAATTCTTTCGATTCTGTAATGTAGAGATTCTGAGCTTTCCATAGATATATAACATGCATACCTTACATGAAAATTCAAAACTCCATTCACTTAACATGGGGTTATTATTAGATAAATCGGTTAATTAGATTAACCTGGCTGTCAATCCCAATAGAAATCAAATTTTAAGTTGTTTTAAAGACACCTTTCCTTTTACATTTCTTTAATATGTTTTGAGTCTTGTTGCGGTATATTAATAAGCCCTAGGGTGGATTGAACTGTGTTATACTGTAAGTTAAGCTTACGGAAGCACATTAAAGGGATACCTCCTCTTAATTTACCAACTTTCTTATTTCTTATCCGATTTTCATCAAACTTGGAATGTATGTGTATAATCAAATTCTAAATTTCATGGAATAATCGAATTTGCTTAGTGCGCATGCGCATTACCAACTTTCTTATTTCTCATTCGATTTTCATCAAACTTGGAATGTATGTGTACAATCAAATTCTTAATTTGATGGAATTAACGAATTTGCGTAGTGCGCATGCGCATTACCAACTTTCTTATTTCTTATCCGATTTTCATCAAACTTGGCATGTATGTCTATAAATCAGTTCTAAATTTGATGGAAATGTTGAATTTTTGTTGTGCGCATGCGCATTACCAACTTTCTTATTTCTTATCCCAATTTCACCAAACTTGGTATGTTTGTGTATAATCCAATTCTAAATTTGACGGAAATATTGAAATTTTGTTGTGCGCATGCGCATCACCAACTTTCTTATTTCTTATCCGAATTTCACCAAACTTGGTATGTATGTGTATAATCCAATTATAAATTATATAGAAATATTGAATTTTGTTTTGTGCATGCGCATTGTCTAATTTCTTATTTCTTATACGGATTTCATCAAAATTGGTCAAACAAACATTCTTTTATTCCTAGTCAATATACTTTAAACTCCAGGCACTTTTGGATATTTGCATTTAGAGATGCAGAAAAGTATTTACATCAATGTTATTGCAATAGACCATCTTCGTATGTACCTGAATGTCGTAACCCGCCCTGCATCAGTACTGTTATTAGAACAGTTCTAGTTCTAATTGGTAACAATTTGTTATGAATTTGAAATCGAAGTTATAGCAAGAAGAGTTTGAAATAACACTATCATTCAACACATCAGCTAAAAGTAGCCTTCTTCTCCGAGTCTGTTAATGATTATATATTTCAGGTTGTTGGCTTATATATCATCTCAAGTTTACTACCTAATATCAATAACTTTGATTATAATATTCTGTATAGATACCTGGAAAAAACAAATTTGGCCTGAAATAAGAGGTAAACATTTCCCTGAAATAGCATGACAACATTTTTTGCCTTGATGCAGCTCTTTTTTTGTTAGTCATTTGGTAGAAGTATGTGATTATTCAATGAATATTATTTTACATGTACTTAGGCATTGTGATATGATTCAAGAACTCAGTTTGGTTGCTACATTGCATATTAAACATGACGTTAACAATACGGTAATAGAATAACTTAGATCATAGAGCTTATGTGACAAAAGATATAAGCTACAACATCCAAAGGCATTTTTTTTAAGCAAAGCATATCGACACAGACCAAAATGGGTATTCACAATTATTTGCCTTCAATACACATTTATTTTAGCGATTTGCCAAAGCACTCGACAAAATTGTGGCTTACAGTGCTTTAGTACGATTTGTCTGCAATTCAAAACGGCAACATTGTCAACAAGTAAAAACATGTTGAGAACTGGTTCAAAGATTACGGGAATAAAGACAAAATATTATTTTTTACCAATGTTTGAAATTTTTTAATTGAATTGTTCATTGTAGTTCCACCACCAGTGCCTGAAGATGAAGATGAGTAAGTTTTTATTTTTATCATACGGATTTATAATTGCAGGGCGTTCTTTGAACGCACTGCATTGTTTTGAAAATGACTATTTTTTTTTTTTTTTTTTTTTGTCTACTTCTGGTCACGCTCCCCAGCCAAAACGTCACACATTGTCTGACACTATTATTTCTTATACTTTGCGTGTCGCTACTGTTTAAATGTAAAATGACGCATTTTCTTCCAACCGGAAATGACGTATGACGTTAACCATTCATTACGTATTTCGAATTACTGCTCTAATTCTGCATCTATTTTGACCGTAACTTTTGTTTTGTTCATTACTTTAAACCAATGACTAAAAGATAGCACTTTATAAAATTTCAGATTTTGACTTTTGTCGCTGACTTTTTTTGTTTTAATTTTAGCGTTTTTTTCAACTTCTACAATTTTATTTCAATCGGTCTAAAAATTTAATAGAAGATAAGCATTTTGATTCCTGACAAAAATCTATTTTCAAAATTTCGATATCACTTCCGGTTTTTACGTCATTCGCCTCTAAACTTGAAATTTCAACTCCCGGAATTTTGTAGGTATTTGAAAAATTCTTTTTGAAATTAGTTAAAATTGTCCCTATAACAATTTTGGAATGAAAAAATTTTAACCGGAAGTAACGTGTTAGACGCCATCTTGATGTGACCAATTTTTATAAAAATCGATATTAAGCTTCAGGGGTAAATCTGATTTGTATGATTTTGGTGTCTAAAGAATCTGCAATCGATTGCTAACAAAACTTAGGAAGCCGATTTTTGAATTTTGGATTTGTATTTTTTTTATTTTCGGTTTTATGTTTTCAGTAATTGTCAAAAATATTAAGGCTCATATCTAGTGACTTTGACCTTTGGTGACCTTGTGACCTGAACAAAAGTTGTTGACCTTACGAGATCCGTTGATATCCTCACTTTTGTTGTGCATTGTTAACTTCCGGTTCTACAGCAATTGGAAAATTACGATTTTTAACTTTGAAGAGCTCTGTCACGTGACCTAATTAACATACGACAAAAATTCTTATATATTCTTTGAGTGCATAAAATCTCCTTTTTGGTGACATATCACACTTGATATTTTGATCAAAATTGCGGGTTTAAAAATCGAAAATTTTGTACTGACTTCTATAGTAACTGTGCGTAAAATCACGGTGTCTATAATTTATCGACAGTCACCGTTGCCCTAAAAAAAAGTTTAACTACGAATATCTCATGATCTAATGATTGTAAAGACTTGAAATTTTGAACATTATTTAACAATGTACACATCATCACAGACAAATTAAAATTTTTGAAGTGGGCGTGGCACATCCGGTGTGCATTTACCTTTACCTGAAATATTTGCATGAAAATAGATCACTGCTTAGGACAATTTGTGATAAGATTACAGTTGTTTGCATTCTTTACTTTAAAAAAGGGAATAGGTTTAACAATTTTATAAATTTTCATTTTTGATCTTTAGCATGAATGACCTTGACCTTTGCATGGTCAAAGGTCATTGACTAAGGATGACCATTCTTACTTTGATCTTTGATGTCCGATATATACTTCCGGTTTTGCAGATGTCCAAAACAGCAATTTTCGAAACTTCAAAGGCTCATATAACTTTTATTTGACATTTGTTGACCTTTTGACCTGAACAAAAGTTGTTGCCCCTATATATCCGATAATATCTTCACTTTTGTTGTGCATTGTTAACTTCCAGTTCTACAGCAATTTAAAAATCGCGATTTTTAACTTTGAAGAGCTCTGTCAAGTGACCTAATTAACATATAACAAAATTTCTTACATATTCTTAGAGTGCATAAAATCTCCTTTTTGGTGATATATCACACTTGATATTTTGATCAAAATTGCGCGTTTTAAAAATTGAAAATTTTGTACTGACTTCTATAGTAACTGTGCATTAAATCACGGTGTCTATACTTTACCGACAGTCACCGTTGCCCTAAAAAAAAGTTTAACTACGAATATCACATGATCTAATGATTGTAAAGACTTGAAATTTTGAACATTATTTAACAATGTACAGACAAATTAAAATTTTTGAAGTGGGCGTGGCACATCCGGTGGGCATTTGCCTTTACCTGAAATATTTGCAATTGTCATAACTCGCAAAGTTTGCAATTGTCATCCTAGAAATTTTGCATGAAAGTAGATCACTGCTTAGGACAATTTGTGATAAGATTACAGTTGTTTGCGTTCTTTACTTTAAAAAAGGGAACAGGTTTAACAATTTTAAAAAATTTTATTTTTGAACTTTAACGTAAATGACCTTGACCTTTGCATGGTCAAAGGTCATTGATCTAAGATGACCATTCTTACTTTGATTTTTGATGTGCAACATATACTTCCGGTTTTACAGACGTCAGAAAACAGCAATTTTCGAAACTTCAAAGGCTCATATTACTTTTATTTAACCTTTGTTGACCTTTTGACCTGAACAAAGGTTGTTGCCCATTACGAGATATATCCATAATATTTTCACTTTTGTCGTGCTCCGTTAACTTCCGGTTCTACAGCCAATTGAAAATCGCGATTTTTAACTTTAAAAAAAAGGTCTATCACGTAACCTAATTTACATAAGCGAAAATTTATCTTTTGTCCTTATTACACGCAATCTATTCTTTCAAATGATATATAACACTTGGTATTTTGATTAAAATTGAATTTGAAAATTTTGTATTGACTTCTATAGTAACTTTGCGTAATTTTAACGGTTTCTATAATCCACCGACAGTCACCGTTGCCTTAAAAAAACTTTTAACTACGAATATCTCATGATCGAATGATTGTAAACACTTGACATTTTGAACATTATTTGACATTGTACACATTATTACAGACAACACAAAATTTTTGCAGTGGGCGTGGCAAATCAGGGTTACTTTTACCTTTACCATAAATAATTCAAATTGTTATAACTCGAAAAGTTTGCATTTTTCACCATCGAAATTTTACAAAAAATTAAAGCACTATTTGGGACAATATCTGATAGAGTTACATTTTGTTTAGGCCTTTTACTTTAAAAAAGGGAATAGGATTTACAATTTATAAAATTTTGATATTTTGACCATTTACATGCAGAATCTTGGTCTTTAGAAGGTCAAAGGTTATTGATCTACGATGTCCATTCATACTTTTATCTTTGATGTCCGACATATATTTTCACTTTTACAAACGTCCCAAAACAGCAATTTTCAACACTTTTAAGGCTTATATTCTCTTTTATTTGACCTCTGTTGACCTCTTGGCCTAAACGCAAATTATTGTACCTTTCCAAAAATATTTTCATTTTTGTTGTGCGAATTGAACTTTTAACTTTACAGCTATTTGAAGCCTTTTAGTACCGAATGGTATCAAATTCATGCGTCTTTTCACTACCGAACGGTAAACGGTTTAAACGATTTTTTCTACTATTGAACGTTTACATGCTTTTCTTTCCGGTAAGAAATCCCATTGTGACTTTAAAATGCAACGTTTTATTGATGTATCAGGTTGGATGCGCACTGCTTCGGTACCGTTATAACGGTTCTAGTTATACTTCATTTCTATAAATATTTTTTAACTTTATATCAGATTACTTCATCTTGTCTTACTACCCAAGCAAAAATATATAGTAAAATTTAAAGTTTTACTTTTTCAGTTGGACCCCAGTTCATCCTCGGTTATTAAGTACTCCTGAAATTTCTCATTACATTGCTCAAGCTTTGTATTTTACTCAAACTACTCTCAGAAAATGGAGGGTATTCAGACGCCAACATCCTCAAAAAGTAAGTTACACACATGCCTTGATGTGTCAGGAAATGAAATTTATATTCAAAACTTGAACAATAATTCGATTTAAAATAGCACTGTATGCCAGGATAATTACTGCATTAATAGAAATATTCAAATTTACTTCATTTAGTTACAAAATCCATATACTGTTGTACACTGCGAGAAAGGTTTTAGTCACAATGCCTGTTTTCATTAAGCTACGAACTCTACAATTGACAGCTTTTTTCACTTGTCATTCAAAGAATTTAAAAATATTTTTCAGTTTTGTTTCTTCGCTTGTTCATTTTTTACCACACTATATTTAGTGAGTCGCTGTGTTTCTGGCTTGACTCTAACTTACACATTAGGTATGTATCAATTTAGAACTTTTACTAAATTGGATATTTTCAGTTTGTAAGTTTGTTTTCCATCATTGCTATTTTTGTGATCTATTGTTGTCATTAAAAATGATTAACGTGAAATTGAAAATTTCTATTACAAAGTCATATTTTTACCATCTATAATCTATGGATTCCAAAAGACAAATACTGCTGCATTTGAAAAGCCAGAAGTAAATGATATGAATGAGGCTTAGATTACTCCTCATATGACAGTTGATTTGTATTGAGTCAGATTAAAAATATCTAACTGCATTTATAGATGAATCCATGTTTCTTAAACACTTTTGAATTATAGAGTTGAACAAAAATTGATATAGAATCAGAAATGTTGTATCTTTGATATATTAATTTCTTACTTTAGTTATAAGTGTATTACTATGGCCTTGTGTAGTCTATCATAATTTGCTGAAGAAATCCTATTTATTGATGGAGCCGGCTTTAATGTGGTTAGACTATCAACTTAAACATTTAAAAGTATCAAAACCAGGTAGGTAACATCTTGATGGATTGCTAGTCATTTTAGTCTTTCAACGTGGCTTTAACTATGGCTATACCTCATCTTTAAATTTTGATTGGTAGATGTAACACCATTGAGAGTTGTTTAAACGAAAATTGGATGTTCCAATTTTGTTGCCGATTGTTTTTTAGTATTATTTTCTGCCAATGCACAAAGATGAAATTGACTAACCTTCAAGGTATCAGTCTTTAAATAGTTTCAGATTGAGTTGTACTACTACAAGTATAGTCACCTTTTATTAATATTCAAAATGATATCAAATTAAACATATCCAGATTAGGTGTACTTTCCTTATCAATATTGGCAAGTGGCTGACAGCTTACAAATTTAAGGATTGACTGATGGTTTTGATAGATCTTGGTTGCTGTGTTGCTTGTAATCTCATATAACGGCACTGTTTATGGTGTTCTAGAAAGGGTAAACTTTATATTTTAGCAGAGAATAGAGAAGCCAATGGTCAACAGGTTGTTGAAGCTCTCAGTGATGAACCTAGTGCAATCCTAGTAGATGAAGAAGAAGAGTATATACCTAGTTATGATCCAGAGACCACTGCTGCTCTAGCTCGTGCCATAACTGATAGTGAAGATGAGGGAGGAACATCTTCTGTACCAACACCAGGCTTGTCTAAAGAACCTTCTATTGACAACAGTGATGATGGTGAGATTATTTTGATAATTTTCAAACTTTTCTAGTCATAGCCCATATTTGTCTTAGAAAATGTGAATCAAATGTACTTTTCTGTTATCCTTTTGTACACTTTCTTTCATTGTGCCTGTATTTTAATCATTATTATCACTCTTGTCAGTCATCCCACCAACAATAATTATTATTGTTAAAGATCATAATTCTATTATATTAACCACAACTGTTTTTGTTGTGTGAGCATGAAATATTTGGTATACACATATATAATTCTCTTCTATATTTTTTAGAGCGAGATATAAATGTTGATGATTTGATGCCCAGCATTGATCAGATGCCGTCTTTTGATGATTTGGACCAGACAGATGATGAATGGGCACCAGGATCACCAAATGAATGCACTGGTCAAATACAATTCACTCCAACGCATTTTGGTGATGAATCTGATTCAGAAGATGAGAATCAATTAGCTGATTTAAGCATTCCTGATATGAGTGACAGTGGTGCTGATGGTTCTATTACTCATCAGTTAGTGAGTCAAACTCTGACAAATATGATGGACAATGCTTTACAACGCTTATCTCCCGATAAAGACAATTCTTCATTTACTTCAGACATGTTACCAAGAACTGGAGCAAGGGTAACTTACACTAAAACATCACATGGTGAATCATTTGATATCTCAGACCCAGCAGATGATACCATAATTGAAGAAGATGAAGAAGATGAAAACACAGATGCAGAAAATATTGAAAAAGAATTTGATTTTTTGGATGATTATGATAAAGATGACAACAATGTTAAGAAATGAGTTAAACATTAGATATGTGGGTCCAAAATGTTCATCTGCTGGTCCTCAGAGACACGGAGTATACCACCTAGAAGTTAGTTTGTAGTATATCAACTGATAATCATGTTTTTACTGTGGAACCACATTCAGAAAGACAAGTATGACTATGTAGAGATTAGAGCAGCAGAATATATGATTTTCAAAATAATATTGAAATCATTGAGAATTTGTCTATTATAGTACAGAGCATCGAGATTTACATTCATTTCACATATCCTCTGGTTGTGCTCCAAGTTAACATATTTCATTTCATTTGGGTAGACTCTGTTTAAGTTAAAGATTATCTAAATTCAAATCAATCCTTATTCCAATATGTTAGCGAGTTGTTTGTAGTGAAATTCTGTAGAATTCGAAATAGAAAGGTGCCACTGAGCTTTATTCTTGTTTTTGTGACTGATTAGGCTTTTTTCAGCAGTTGTAAATCAAATATTTTCTGCAATGATATAATATAGGACATAACTTACTTTAGTTGATTTTATTGCAAAGGGGCAATTTTATACCACCAGATATATTATTATTACTTATTATAAAGATTCTCAACATGTCAATATAGAATATTTTTTGGAATAAAGGATTAGGTGCTTTGTGTTGATGACTTTCACCGAATATTTTTACTTGAATTATACACCAGATATTGTAGTGCTATTTGAAATGCCTTAATGAAAGAAACCTGGTGAAATAATGTTGTAATTTATGTAGTGATATTATGTATATCAATATCATTTAATAAGTGTAGCAATCTTGTTTATATTGTCCTCATAAATATGATATGAGATATATGTGAATATTACATGATCATGAAATGATGACTATTGAAAATTGGACAGAAAAGCTTTTATCTTTGAAATTTTTATAATTCTAATTCTAAAATAACGAAAGAGTAATGAAATGTTTAAAAAAAACTATTACATTTCAGCAAAGTTTTACTTTTGCATCAAGTTAGTGATATAGTCTTATATATCTGTCATATTTATAATAGTCATTAAGGTGTCAAGTGTTTGAGTCCTTATTAAGGCCAGACCAATCTGTAATGTCATGGATAGTGCTTATGTTAGTACAGTGGTTCCTAACCTTTTTCAGCCTTCACACCTGGAGAAATCAACTTTGTTCATCCACATTTTCAGCATGTGATGATGTGAGATGCTCTCTCAATTCAAAATAAATTCTTCTTCTACACCAGCTGGCCACACCCCTGACACCCTAGTCCCAGAACGCCCTGGGGACAAACCACCGATATATATGTTCAGTGTTGAATTAGTTCAGGGCAGTTTGAAACGGTTGTAGTGTTTAAATGGCTTATAAATAGCTTAGTTAATTTATTAAACATTAAATTGCTCAAGCATGAATTTTTGCATTAAGGTAAGAAAAGAAAAGTTGTAAATTAACATTAATTTGATATGATAATGATGATAAGGAATAAGGGATGTTTTTGATAAAAATATTCTGAAAGACTGCACAAAGAACTATATATATGTATATGATTCAGATATTTGTTATTTGTTGTGCTGTGATATGTAAATCTTTCAAATGTGAAGAATTTTGAGTAACCTGAGATGTAGCCCTTTTATTATTCACTTTAACAGGATTTTCATTCATCTAATATTTGACAAAATAAAATCAGACATTGAGCTCTTCTGAAATAAATAAGTTCCTTCTCTGAAAGGATTCTAGATGACTATAATTTTTGTAGAAAAGTTTATACAAAGCAGGGTTTAATTTAAGCTGTGTTGCATCACAGTTTGCGAATCAAAATTAGTTAGCTTGATTAGCCAGAAATGAAATTTGGTGTGGTAAATTGCTTATCAAATGTTTCCATCAAACTTGAACCCTTTGTTAAGGTAATATTTAATTTAACTTTTATTTTCAAAGGTTTATCCTATCAGATCTATTGGCTGTATTTGGGAATAATAAGAAGTACTGGGTATATATCTCCTTCAACCTTATTCTAGTTTCTATCAAATTAAGCCTTATTTTGTAATATATTATATTTTGTAATTGTTTTAAATCAGCCTTTCAGTGGGCTAAGATGTGTTCGGCGCCAGTTGTATTTTTGGCATCATTTTTAGAAATTGATTTTATGTATATTTTTGAAGAATTTTGTGATTAATTCCTTGGCTGTGTTTCTTTTAGTAATTTTCTTATGTCTTTCGTAAGGTACTAGGCTTTAATTGGTTTTAATCTAAAATTAACCTATCAGTAATTTCTTTAAATATTTTATGAAACTTGCCCTTTTTTCTGCCCTTGAAATGGGTACATCAATTTAATTTGATTGACATAAAATACTTCTCTTCCTTTTTTTGGAAAGATTGCATTTATTTTCTTTACATTTAACCATATATTTGAATTAATGTTGGATTCAATATAGAAAACAATTTGAAATATATTTAAAGAACACTCGAGTTGGTTCTTGTTAGTCTTGAATTTTTAATCAATCCTGTGTGAGATGTTTCTTTTTGCATTGCTATTAATTTGTAGAAGTTTTGTTAAAAAATAAAAAATATTTATGATAATATTACAGTGTTCATCTACAACACCTCAATTGAATCTTCTGTATATCTGTTAAAATATTTTTCATATGATATAGTTGAATACAAGTCAATTCAAATTATTTATCATCTTAGCACAGCAATTTCAACTATTCAATAGTGAATTTTATTTTTTTTTTTACTTGTCAAAGTTCAAAGGGAATACAAAATTGCTGGTTAGAAAGTTGAAAACAAGATCTTCCAAGTAAAATACATGTATGTAGATTTATATTTACTTTAATATAACTAATAAAATACATTAACTTATTAACTAAAACACTCTGCAGTAACTATATAAATACCTCTTATTGTACTTTAAGTTACTGTTATATAATAGTCTGTCACACCAGAGAGGTGTCTTTATTGAGCTGCTATGGCAACATAAAACTAGCTCAAGGGCATAATAAGCGTGTATAAGCATGAAGGAAGCATCAGATGTTGTACGGCGGGTGCCATTTTCACCAATTTACACTGTTGAAATCAGCACAAAATTGTGTTAGACGGGCATTGTAACATCTCGATACACACAGAAAAATGTAGTTCACCATACCCATAGATTATATTAGAAATACTCTTTGGGAAGCCTGTAAGATATCAAATGGTCGCAATCCAGTGTGAAAAACAAGTAAGAGAAATCACATAGTGATATAAGCTAAAACAATGATGCTCATTTCCAAAAAGAAAGAATAATATTAACAAAGACACCTTGCCACATTTTGAAATTTAAGAAACATGATCAATAAAATGAATCATACTGGTTATAAAATAAGAATTATAAAGAATAGTTATCAAATATATAAAAATTTGTCTTAAAAAAGAAGTCAACTAAATGAATTTATTTAAGATTCATATAGCCTTTATATAACAAAAAAAATTCTTAAAAAAAATTTCAAAACAGAGATGATCAATTTAGTTTAATATAACTAAGCAGTACAGTGTGTCTTCTGCTTTTATTTGTCAATAATTCTACTTTGGATGATACTACAATTGTAATAGATAATCATTTAATATTATACACAAAAAAAATAGCAACATAACTCACTTTGGTGTATAAACAGTGGGGGTTACAGAAGAAGAAAAGTGGTTTACACCCCCAATTGTATCCCCACTTTTTTTCAACAAATCTAAATGTCTACCTTTTTTATCCAAAATATGTGTCAAAATCAATTCATTTTTTCTAAAATTTTCTTGAGATAACCTTCAAAGACGCTCTATGAGAGGCTTGTGACTATGACACCACCACAGAGTGGCCAAAATTTGAATTCAGCCTCAGCAGTTGTACCCTCATTGAGTGAGTCTGCTCCCTATTTGTACCCCCAGTCTCAGTATAAATACCTAACAAATGTATGAACTTAAAAAATCTTTAAAATTATATATTCACACTAAATATTTACACTGCTTCATACCAATTTCATTTTTGTAGAAGGATACATTACAAATTCTAATGTGATATATGCAGTCTGACACAAATATACAAATGTTCATTATGTGAAGAATATGGCGGTGACGATAATAATATCTTATAAATCATACAGATATTTCTGTTCAGGATGAAGCTTCTTGTCTAATATACAATCATATATATAATGTTCATTGACTATTGGAGACTGAAATTTAAAGACAAATTTAAAGGCATTAAAATGTTTGTTACCAGCTGTAGAGCTCAATTTCAGCTCTCAATATAAAAAAACAAGTGGTTGCCTAACAAGATACACCCACTTTCCTGATACATTTTCAGTATATCAAGGGCAGTCACCTATCTGTGTCAAATCATACCAAAAATTTAATTTGTGCAAGATATTGTTGATTTAAACAAAGACACATTATATTTCAAAATTCTGACATAAACTGTCACCTCTATCACCAACAAATTTTGATGAGTTTTTACTAAGTCAAGGGCAATAACTCAAATTCTGTTGATTGAAAAATTGTCAGATTCAATCTTGACTAAGATCTCATCATTATAAATGATCATATCAAATTTCATTGAAATAGGATGAACAAAAAAATTTTGACGCGTTTTTCATAAATCAAGGGCAATAACTCAAAAACTGTTCATCAAAAAATCGTGAATATCGAACTTGTCCAAGATCTCATCAATATAAATGATCACAACAAATTTCATTCAAAACAGATGAAAACTGTAGTCTCTATTGCGTTCACAAGCCAATTTTGATGCGTTTTGGCTAAGTCAAGGGCAAAAACTCAAAAACCGTTCATCGAAAAATCGTGAATATCGAATTTGTCCAAGATCTCATCAATATAAATGATCACACCAAATTTCATTCAAATCAGATGAAAACTGTAGTCTCTATCGAGTTCACAAGCCAATCGTGGACGGACAGACATGGGTGACGACAATATAAGTCCACATTATATTGTGAGAGTATAAAAATACAACACTTTACAAAGAGCGCACTTTAAAAGTTTCATGGTACATGATTTTTGAATTGCAAGGAAAACATGTTTATGAACATCTCTCGCTCTTATTCAGCAAGCTGGCTAAAGTCACTCATACCAAAACAAATTATTCTGGAGAGGATTTTATATCTCAAATTTGTTGGCAGGCAATGAGCTGTTGGTGCTCCCTATAAAGATGGGTTCCCTTATTTTCATTTAAGAATAGAAGTGTTCTAATGACTTGGAAAAAATACCACATGTCCATAATTAACTCATAATTAGCTAAATAAGAAGAGATTTACCTGCAGAATTCCAATAAGTGACTGATCAAGGCTAAAAAGTCTTTTTTTGTTTCTTATCTATATGCAATAGTAACCTGATATGATTAAGAATACATGATAATTCATTATAAAACACCAATTAATCAAATAGCTTGCTTTATTTGACACTAAAAATTAAGGAAACCTATGTTTAAGAATAAGAAAACTTGCCCCTCTCTCGGTAGCTTTATACACTTTAGCATTAGTATTATTTGATACTTCATCTGGTGTTGCTACAAGATGTGTGAAAAGGTGAAAAGTAGCTGAAAATGAAAATATTTGCAATTAAGTCTTGTTCTACACTGATTTCGGCTGAAGCAGACAGGCAAAACCTTGTAGTAAGTAATGAAAGAAATAACGTCTGTTTCCTGGGTATTCCAAAAATTTCCTAAATTAATAGGGATTTAAACATACAACAACTAATCCAACTGCTCAAGTAAAAGCTGTGTTGAGTTATATTGGCAGTGAAATATGAAATAAGGTGAAATATAAACACCTAGATTGATTTGTAGTATTGTTTTCCTTCATTTCAAGATTTTTGATGATAAAAAAGATGAGATGAGAGATTTTTAATACATATTCTTGCAACATTCTCTCCCCCTACCATTAAAATACTGAGAACATGACTATTTGTTTTATAATTATTAATTAACTGGTATAAACAAGTTATAGGCTTGTTTTCATCATGTTAAAATGTTGCACATGTCTTCAAACAAACATATACTCAAGTCACTGGATACTAATTTGTTTTCACATGCCTTGACAAAATATTTCTTACTATGACTGGTCTTAAAGTAATGAATATAAAAACATGTCTGACTAAGGCAAGGAAGCAAAATGAATTCTTACGTTTACCAGCTCCATGTTTCATTGTCAAAGCTATCAGGTTCGCTTGAGTGGCAGTAAATTTTCCAGAGAACTGAAACATGGTACCCTTTAAAATCCTGAAAATAAAAATAAAGTCTGATTAAAGAATACTCAAAATTCAATGTCACACTTTTTGTTTGTTTTCTTCTGCAATTTCTAATCTCACATCATAGTCTGAGAAAATTCTCCATTATATCATGTTCATCGAAATAAATTTGGATCTATTGATTTTGATTTTGATATTTATAAAAATAATCATTCCAAAAAGGGTACAAATGCACCATGAATTATAGTTTTAATATGTTGTCAGAAAATAAATATAAAGCTTACATTGATGGTTTAGCCTTTTCACATTTTTTATATTTATCAGCAAGATCTCCATCTTTAAACTAGTAAAAATATATCAATCAATACCTATGAATATCTCAGCCCCAACATCTATTGTAAACTAAAATTCAGCGATGAGTTTTCCCGTTATACTTATTAGATATAAATTTAATGACACAACAATCAGTAAGCTACAAGACTGACACCTAACACTTAAACCTGTAAAACTGACTGATAATAATCCAATTGGTAGTAAGGCCATTGAGAACAACTAACATAAAATAACCAGACAGAACCATTCATTGCATTAAAATTTACTAATTGCATTGATGCCACTCAAGGACTGACTTACCTCAGTTTTGAGAACTTTAGGTTTGTATTTGAACTCGCCACCACCAGCTTTATAATGTACAATATAACACGGTAATATATGGTGACTATTAAATATAACTAATTCTTTATTATCAGGTGATGTATGAGAATCATGTCCACTCATTAACGTTGAACCATGAATCAATTTGGTACATTTATATGCCTGAAATGAATAAAAATGTGTTGTTTATTATCAATTTATACCAAGCAAAGACTTGTCTCATTGATCCTTCCCATAATATCATCCATTTGTACCTGCCACTGTCAAGTTAATGCTAATTTCCCTTTTCATCATTGTATGTAAATATTGAGTATAATGTATATTATTATGTGTAAAGTTATTTTGAATAATCTTAAACTTTGTATGTGTGTATTTTACAATTATTATATGTGTGTATTTTGTAATTATTATATGTGTGTATTTTACAATTATTATATGTGTGTATTTTATAATCATTATATGTGTGTATTTTATAATCATTATATGTGTGCATTTTATAATTATTATATGTGTGTATTTTATTATCATTGTATGTGTGTATTTTATAATTATTATATGTGTGTATTTTATAATCATTATATGTGTGTATTTTATAATCATTATATGTGTGTATTTTGTAATTATTATATGTGTGTATTTTATAATTATTGTGGGTGCAGAAGGTAATCAGACGTTCAATAATTCAGTGAAAACAAATTCTGTACTCTTTATAACTTTATTAACGTCTAACTTCTTAGAGTAAAGTTGTTGTTGTTCACAGATTGACTACAAAATATAACAAAACTTATTACAAATTCACTTATGAAATATCTATTACTATAGACTTATCAACTTATGGAAAGTACCAGCAGGTCACGTGACTAACTGAGTAGCGGGAAAGGGAAAATTCTATCAGACATGACTTTTGATCAAAATATACATTAATATGCAATGACATCAAACTTTACAATGATAAACATTAAAAGAAGAATCTTATACACAAAATTACATATAAAATATGAAGTTTACCGATTTATTATGCCTGTTATCTGCACAAATCCACAGTGAAACTTTTAGCTTACTTCAACACACCATGTTGCTTTAAAAACTGGATAATTGTGACAAATAGGAATGATACTAAACTAAAGTGACTAATATAATATGGACTATTTTCCAGGAAAAAGTAGGCACCAAAGGCACTTGTTTCTTTAAACCACAGGCGCTCGTTGTAAACAATAAAAACATATTTCTTAAACTTTAACTAAATACCCAACTTTATACTAATTGCTCTCACAATTATTATACGTGTGTATTTTATAATTATTATACGTGTGTATTTTATAATTATTATATGTGTGTATTATTTTATAATTATTATATGTGTGTATTTTATAATTATTATATGTGTGTATTTTATAATTATTATATGTGTGTATTTTATTATATGTGTGTATTTTATAACTATTATATGTGTGTATTTTGTAATTATTATATGTGTGTATTTTACAATTATTATATGTGTGTATTTTATAATCATTATATGTGTGTATTTTATAATTATTATATGTGTCTATTTTATAATTATTGTATGTGTGTATTTTATAATTATTATATGCGTGTATTTTATAATTATTGTATGTGTATATTTTATATTTATAATCATTATATGTGTGTATTTTATAATTATTATATGTGTGTATTTTATGATTATTGTATGTGTGTATTTTATAATTTTTTTTTTTGTAAACAATATTTATTCAAGGATTACAAATATTACATGCATATATATAAACATGGTTTTGGAAACAAGCTTTAAAGCTATTATAAATCAATTACCATGTGAATTTTATAATTATTATATGTGTGTATTTTATGATTATTGTATGTGTGTATTTTATAATCATTATATGTGTGTATTTTATAATTATTATATGTGTCTATTTTATAATTATTGTATGTGTGTATTTTATAATTATTATATGTGTGTATTTTATAATTATTGTATGTGTATATTTTATATTTATAATCATTATATGTGTGTATTTTATAATTATTATATGTGTGTATTTTATGATTATTGTATGTGTGTATTTTATAATTTTTTTTTTTTGTAAACAATATTTATTCAAGGATTACAAATATTACATGCATATATATAAACATATGGTTTTGGAAACAAGCCTTAAAGCTATTATAAATCAATTACCATGTGAATTTTATAATTATTATATGTGTGTATTTTACAATTATTATATGTGTGTATTTTATCATATGTGTGTATTTTATAATTATTATATGTGTGTATTTTATATTTTTATAAATAAAGTATTATTATTATCATATACTAAGAGCTTTATATAATCTGAGAAACTATATCATACCTTCCCTGGTAAAACTTGACATAACAACAGTTTAGTGGCACCTTGTATATAACTCATAGAATAGTGTGGATATTCACTAAAATATACGCCAGCACCATACCATCCAGTATCTGTACGCATATGAAATCCCGATTCACCTGCAAAATGATAAAAATTCTATATTGAATGGAGAGGAAACAGGGATCCCTATTTACTTTTCTCAAGGTAACACTTTACCTATAATTCTTTATAAAACCTTGAAGACTAAAGATATGACAGCTCTTAATAAAACCTTGAAGACTAAAGATAAGATAACTCTTTATAAAATCTTTTAAACTAAAGAAAAGATAACTCTTTATAAAATCGTTAAGATTAAGGATAAGATAACTCTTTATAAAACTGTGAAGACTAGATAACTCTTTATAAATCCTTGAAGACTAGATAAGACAACTCTTTATAAAACCTTGCAGAGTAGATAAGATAATTCCTAATAAAACCTTGAAGACTAGATAAGATAACTCTTGATAAAACCTTGCAGACTAGATAAGATAACTCTTAATAAATCCTTGAAGACTAGATAAGATAACTCCTAATAAAACCTTGAAGACTAAATGAGATGACTTTTTATAAAACCTTGAAGACTAGATAAGATAACTCCTAATAAAACCTTGAAGACTAGATAAGATAACTCCTAATAAAACCTTGAAGACTAGATAAGATAACTCTTTATAAAACCTTGAAGACTAGATAAGACAACTCTTTACAAAACCTTGCAGAGTAGATAAGATAATTCCTAATAAAACCTTGAAGACTAGATAAGATAACTCTTGATAAAACCTTGAAGACTAGATAAGATAACTCCTAATAAAACCTTGAAGACTAGATAAGATAACTCTTTATAAAACCTTGAAAACTAGATAAGATAACTCCTGATAAAACCTTGAAGACTAAATGAGATAACTCTTTATAAAACCTTGAAGACTAGATAAGATAACTCCTGATAAAACCTTGAAGACTAAATGAGATGACTTTTTATAAAACTTTGAAGAATAGTTAATATAACTCCTAATAAAACCTTGGGTAATAATTTGAGAAACTCTTTATACAAACTTAAAGATTAGAGATAAGATAACTAATATTATAGAAGATTACTTAATACATAAAAAGATATACCTGGTGCCTTAAAGCCATCAGTACAAATTTTAATAATATTTTCTTTCTTTGTGCCATGAAATGCTAAGACTGGATAACTAAGACTTTCTCCCCTTGCTTTCTTCAAATCATTTCTTGACTCTCTAAAAAAATCAAATGTGTAAAAGGCTCTGCTTGTTCAAAACCGTTTGCTATTATGGTACAAAACAGTATCCATTACAATCCAGCTGTTTAAATCAATGACTGTGTGTCCCTTTCAGTGATTTGTCCAATACCTACCTCAATAATAAATTACCATTTACTTACTGAAATCTTTTCACCAATACAGGATTAACAACATATTCTACCTTATCAATACTGTATCTAAAATAATACAACATGGCTTAAATTTTATAACATAGTTATCAATATGAAAATCTGTCTATCAAATCTGGTGGCCACTATGCTTTGTGAATTCAGATTGGAACCAAATACAGATACAAATACCAACAACACATATCTTTAGCCTATATTAGATTGAATTTTCAATCTAAAAACTGAAAAGTAACTTACTTGGCATCCATTCCTGATAGTAATCTATAAAACTGAGATTCTGCTAGACGGAAATGTATCTGATCAGCTGAACCTTCTTTATGATCTCTTTCAGCTGCAAGAGTAAATAGTTTAAGAGTTTTTCCTTCCATGGCCTCTTTTTCTCCCTCCACCAATAGTAAACATGTAGTCACCTAAAACAATAGTATAACTAGAGCCACTCGTGGCACAGAGTGGGACTTTGCAAATGTAGTAAATTGCAGAAGACCCCGAAAAAATCAACCTTCGCCGATAATTAGATCAAGCGCAAGAACAGTCTAAAGTTGAGAAATTTTCATTTTCTAGAAGATTCTAATACCGGAAGTAGACGTCAGACCTCACAAATGAAAGTATCAGCAGATAGCCAAGGTCAATGACCTTTGATCTTGTAAAAGAGAAGGTCTAAAAAGGTCAAGATCAAGAGATATATGTCATCAAAATTTCTAATTGCACACGACTATAAAACCGGAAGTTGACATAGGACAGCAAATATGAAAGTACAAATAGATATCCAATGCCAATGACGTTTGATCCTACAAAGGTCAAGGTCAACAAAGGTCAAGGTCAAAAATTGAAAATTTTCAATTTCCAAAACCTGTTCCTTTTTTTGAACTAAGAAGCGGAAGCAACCAAAATTCTAAGACAAAGTGGCTCACAATATGAGGTAATTGTATGCAAAGTTCCATTTTGAACAAATGTATACTTTGCGAGTTATCCCCCTGGCCAAAAATGTCAATAATGAGTAATCAAACCCGGAAGTGCCACGCCCAACTCAATTTTTTTTGAATAAGTTAATCAATATTCAAAATGTTACGTTATGTTCCAAATGTCAAGTTCCTACATAATAGAGGTCAAAAGATATAGGTCAACAAAAGTCAACAAAGGTCAAAATCGAAAAATGAAAATATCCAAATGTTAAAACCCGTTCCTTTTTTGAAACTATAAAGCTGAAACAACTGAGCTGTTAATACATACTGGCCAAAAGGATGAGGTAATTGTGTGCAAAGTCTCTTTTTGAACAAACGCATCCTATGCGAGTTATGCCCCAGCCCCAAAATGTAAACAATTAGTAATTCAACCCGGATGTGCCACGCCCACATAAGTTTTTTTGTCATAGGTGAATTCATATTCAAAGTGTCTTGTTATATTCCAAATATCAAGGTTCTACATAAAATTGATCATAACATATACATACACTAAGCTCAAAAAGTCGCAAATATTGTAAAAAAAAAAACTCAAATTTGAAAAAATCACCAATTTCAATTTTGCTTTAAAAAAACGATTGTTATATATCTGTGTAAAGGGCACGAGAAGCACATTAGGAAACCGAAAAAATTTACTCTCTAGGTTAATTAGGTCACGTGCTAGAGCAGTCCAAAGTTGCGAATTTGGATGTTTTTGGACAGCTATAAAAGCAAAAGTAGACGTCAGAGGTCAAATATGAAAGCATAAACTAATAGACAACGTCAATGACCTTTGACCCAATAAAGGTCAAGGTCATCAAAGGTCAAGGTCAAAAATTGAAAATTATGAATTTCCAAAACCTGTTCCTTTTTTTGAACTAAGAAGCGGAAACAACCGAACTTCTAAGACAAAGTGGCTCAATTCATGAGATAATTGTATGCAAAGTTCCATTTGAACAAACGTATACTTTGCGAGTTATGCTCCTGGCCAAAAATATCAATAATGAGTAATATTACCCGGATGTGCCACGCCCACCTGAATTTTTTTGAATAGGGTAATTGATATTCCAAATGTTATGTTGTGTTTCAAATTTCAAGCTTCTACATTATTCAAGTCAAAAGATATAGGTCAACAAACGTCAACAAAGGTCAAAATCGAAAAATGAAAATATCCAAATGTTAAAACCCGTTCCTTTTTTGGAACTATAAAGCTGAAACAACTGAGCTGTTAACACAAACTGGCCAAAAGGATGAGGTAATTGTGTGCAAAGTCCCTTTTTCAAAAAAACGTATCCAATGCGAGTTATGCCCCAGCCCCAAAATGTAAACAATTAGTAATCCAACCCGGATGTGCCACGCCCACCCCAATTTTTTTGCCATAGGTGAATTCATATTCAAAGTGTCTAGTTGTATTCCAAATATCAAGGTTCTCCATAAAATAGGTCATAAGATATACATACACCAAGATCAAAAAGACACAAATATGGTAAAACAAAACTCAAATTTGAAAAAATCACGAATTTTGCTTTAAAAAAGCAATTGTTATATATCTATGTAAAGTGCATGAGAAGAACATTAGGAAACCGAAAAAATTAACCCTCTAGGTTAATTAGGTCACGTGTTAGAGCAGTCCAAAGTTGCGAATTTGGCTTTTTACGGATAGCTATAAAACCGGAAGTACATGTCTGGGGTCAAAGGTCAAAGTATCAAATGATAGCCAAGGTCAATGACCTTTGACCCTAAAAAGGTCAAGGTCATCAAAGGTCAAGGTCACGAGATACAAGCCTTCAAAAAGTGAAAAAATTCGACCGGAAGTTGCAAAAAAGCAAAAGTCAAATTCAAAAATCCATTTCCAACATTTTTGTCGCCATCGACTAAAGTATACACCAACATAAAAATTTGACCAATCCCATTCTCCCCCGAAGCCCCATTTTGAGTTTTATGAAAAAGTATCAAATCAAGATAGCGGCCGAAGTATTTTTTTCGGACTAGATTTTATTTTAAAATCGGCCATAGAATTAAGATTAATAACGATATACTAAATTTCGTTGAAATATTTCAATCACACCGGAAGTTATTTAACCGGAAGTGAAAATCGATTTTCCACTTTAACCGGAAGTGACGCAAAAATTTTGAATACGTCAAATGGTTTACATTAGTGACATGCATCTTTTATCAAAATTTCAGATTAATCCGAAAAAAACTGAAAAATGGTCCAAAAATTTCGAAAATCGGCCAAAAAATGTCTGCGACAAATTTTCGAATTTTGAAATTTTGAAACTGCTATTCTTTCAGATTTTAACAGTAGATTCCAAAAATGCAAACCCAAAGAAAATCGACCGAAAAATACGACTTCTAGAGCCGATTATCTATTCTTGCACATATTGAATTGTGGCACTTCCGGTTTTGCAAAAAAGATCCAAAACATATTTATGCACATCGTCGCCTATATCTAAGGTTCGTGAATGTTGAATGGTTGCTGCAACTATTGTAGTCTAAGCTCAGGAAGGTGTGTAAATTTCGAAAAAAAAAAAAAAAAAAAAAAAAAAAAAAAAGAATTGACATTTCGATAACAAACTGGGACTTTGCTGAAGGCAAAGTCCCACAATAAATAATGAATAAAATGTGAACAATAAAATAATCATGACATCTACATGTCAAATTGCTTGGAAATTGTTAACAAGCTTCATAGAGAACCAAAGATAACATGAATATGAGGTGTAAGGGTCAAGCTAACTAGATGATATAGTATAGTATAGATATACCTGAGCCTGAAGTTTGTCTACTTCTTTGGCTTTTTCAGCAACTTGTTTCTTAGTCACTTCTAATTCCTCTTGTAGCTTTTGTTTAGCTTCAAAAGCCTTCTTTATCAACTCTTTTCTTTCTTCTTCTGACATCTGGGAGTAACTTTTAACTAACGACATTCCCCGACTTAAAATATCATTTCCATCTTTCTTCTGTTTTGTCTTATCCTGAAAAGTAAATAAACAAACAAAATTGTAATTTCAGAGTTTATCAATTGTAGGTACTTCTGATAAATACCTAGAAGAACTCATAATATCTATAGTTCAAACAACAGTGGATGTATCAATTCTGCAAATCAAAATCTTCGAAATTTTACATGTCTTTATTTATAAGAATCTATTTTCCTTTTCAAGTTAAATCTTGTCAGTTTCCTACAATTTAGGGACCTAAGACATTTATTGAAATTGATAAAAATACACTTAACATTTCACAAACCTCCTCATCTGAATCAACTATGTCTGTGTCACTACCACTGTCATCCTTATTGCTAGTTTTTGTAGGGTGGGAAAACTCAGCAAAATGCATCAAATTCTTCCGATAGCACTTGGCACCATATTTACAGGGTGGTAATGTTGCAGAAGTAGATGAACTGGCAGAAACCCCATTTGAATCTCTACTTGTGCTAGCTACACTGGGGCTATTATGAGAGAAATCCTTCAAATGTTGAGGATTTTTCCTATAACAATTTACACCGTAAGGGCATTCAGGTAAAACTTTCGCCTTTTTCGCAACGCTTGGTCCGTCTGCCATGGTTTGTCTGGATTGTCACAGAATTATTAACAAGTATTCAGTATTTACAAGAAGTGACAATATCAACAAATGTTAAAAAACTAAATATAGTGACTTATACTTCTTATTATTACAAAATGTCAACAATTCTCTAGTCTTAATTACCCAGACATTTTCTCGTGGTCTTAGATAACACTATACGAATTATAGTCTTGATAATCGTCAGTATGCAATGATGCTTATCTTCAAATATACTGTGATGTACAAGAACTGCACTCTAAGTATGAAAGAAGAAAATCGAAAAAATCACGTAAATATTGTCTTTGAGAGATAAAGATATGAAAAACAGTAGCCTAATTGTATCTCAATTATTGAGCAAGGATATTCCTTAAGATATTTATAATTTACATATCTATCATTGAGCTATGATGATAATGGAGACAACTCTATTTAAGAAAACAGCAGACAACAACTAGCCATAGATATAATGATAAAAACTTTCTTTAGTTTAAATCTAATTAGTTGGTGAATCAAAATATGCTATGCTCTACAAAATATTGATATTGGTTACTAATAGTCATTTAGAAAATGACCGGCAATGACAAGTCCGGGTGCTAAATATCCACTTATAGATCATTGAAATAGCTTAGGCCTCTATTTTAATTCTGTATTTTAATCCAATTACGAAGTAGGCTACTTCTCGGTCTGTTTATTTTCAATAACTTATATACCATTAAGAAACAACAGTTTTTATGGATATAGACTTCTATTTATTATTGAACACAACGTTACATTACACATATTTTTTTTTGTTTTTTTTTGTTTTTTTTTTGTTTTGTTTTTTTTTGCACTCAGATACGGTGTCAGTGTCGGGATCTCATATATATATAGGCCAGACACCAAGTACGCTATCTCCACTGAAGATGTGTTATTTTCTAGCGGCTACTCGGCTTCACCAACAAGAGTGTTACGGGCTATGGAAGTTAGTGTTCTTATGAATAGAAGGATCAAAGGGGGATTAGTGACCCTAGGATCCCAAATCTAGACATAAGCTTGTTACCTGTTATTGTTATTAAGTTTTTTTTAAAAAAGAAAGTTAAGTAATAGAAAAACGTCTGAGCGTACTACTTTTGTTTTTTTTTATCATTGTGCTTTTATTCATTTAATATACATTATTCTTTACAATATTCACAGGATACTATATAGTATAGTATTTACAGAGTATATTTACAAGGTGTAAAATATTTACATTGTTGGTCTTGACACTAAGCTGAAAGAGAGTTTGATTTGGTACGTTTAGTTACATTTTAATAAATATTTTTATGGTGCATGAAATTAAAGATTGAAAGTGAAGGTTAGTTTTCTTTGTGACACAATTTGTTAGTTCGAATAAGGAAAGTATGGGCCACAGGGACAAAAAAAAAATGAATAGATAAATAATGTTATGTCAAAGTAGGTAAGTAATTTTGTTGATGACCGAGCTTACCGGTCACACATACAGGTAACGTTATCAAGTGATTATTAACCATACAGCTCAGAACATTATATATACCAGCTAAAAAACTTAACAACTCAAAAGATACAACATAAACTACTACTTATTATAACAAATAACATTTGGATTACATTAACTCAAAATTATAAATGCAAAGCATTCACTAATTAAACATTTGAAACATCACCTATCAAGCCCTATTGCTGGTTTAGGAAAATTGACGACGTATTCACTATGATCAACCCACAAGATCTGCTAGATTACCTTAACTCTTTCGAACCAAGAATCCAATTCACTATGGTAAAAGAAAACGAAGAACAGCAACTACCATTCCTAGATGTCCAGATTACAAGAAATGACGACGAACTCCATACCACTGTATATAGAAAGCCCACCCTTACCGACCAATATGTTCATCATCAATCGAATCACCATAGCCAAATTAAAACTTTTATTATATCCACACTAACTAGACGAGCAAAACTGATTTGTAATGATAAAGATACCCTAGAATCTGAATTAAAGCACCTTAAAAAGTTAGTAGAAAGAACTATCAAACAGACGCTTACTAATACCTGCAGACCACCCCAATCCTTAAATAACGCTCCGACATTTATCAATATTCCCTTCATCGGCCCACTCAGCTATCAAATTAAACGGTTAATTACTAGAGAAACTGGCATCGATGTAACCTTCAGTAGTGGTAAAACCCTTAAGAATTTACTAAAAGCAAACGGACGACTAGATAAACCCACCCCAGATCCAAAAGGTGTTGTATACCAAATTGACTGCAGCTGCAAAAAAAGTTACATAGGCGAGACATCAAGACCGTTATCAGTCAGAATAAAAGAACACCAGACAGCTACCAGAAAAAGGGATCACAAAAAGTCAGCAATTGCAGAACATATTACCAAGAATCTATCACATCCAATAAAATGGGTTGAACCAATGATATATAACTACTAATTTAACCAAATGGAAACAAAGATCAATTAGAGAAGCACTAGAAATTAAAAGACATAAACCAGGGATAATGGTCAATTTTTTAGTAATACTGCTGGAATATCTAAATGTTTTATTTTCTTTAATGTTTATGTTATCCTTATGTATCTGATTGTTTAATCTGTCCCATTTATGTTTAGAGAAGCCTGATTAGATTAATACGGAGCCCCTTAAGCGCAATTTTCAACACTTTTTATTATTATTTCGTTTAAACGAAATAAATTATTATTTCGTTTAAACGAATTAATTCGTTTAAACGAATTATTATTTCGTTTAAACGAATTATTATTTCGTTAAAAACGAATTAATTTTTTCGTCTATTTCGTTGAAACGAAATAATTAACCCATCTTTTTATTTCGTTTAAACGAAATAATTATTTCGTTTAAACGACTTAGTTATTTCGTTTAAACGAATTAATTATTTACATTACATTAACTCAAAATTATAAATGCAAAGCATTCACTAATTAATCTACGGAGCCCCTAAGGCGCAATTGTAAACATATTTATTTTTCATTTCGTTTTTAGCTGGTATATATAATGTTCTGAGCTGTATGGTTAATAATCACTTGATAACGTTACCTGTATGTGTAATGAAACGTTATGTTCAATAATAAAGTGTCGACTCACAAGAGCTGGATGATTATTAAAGATGAATGTGTAATAAAATCATGATAACATTATCAACTAATCTTTAAGGTACCGGTACAGAAATTTCAATAGTTAAAAAGAAATATTGTCAAAATCCTTGTTAAATGTGAATGAAGGTTAGGGGGAGAAACGCTGGTTTTCATTAACATCTTGCAGACAAACCAATCATCGATTATCATTTTGAGAGATAGGCCTACTCTGGACAGCTGCAAGCAGGAGCTCAACTTGACAAAGTTTACTCACTAATAAAAACACCAATTACGTAGTTAAATTCATAACGCTCACGAAACAGTCAATTTCATACATTTAAATGTTGAAATAAATCCATTCAAGTTTAGGCCTACCGAAAAGCATAAGCTCAATAGCCTCTACCGCCCCAAAAACCTAACAAAAAAAAAAGTTTCAATTAAAAAAAAACCATCAAAACTGCTGTAACGCGTTAAGCAATTGTGGGCGGGCGGACGAGTGGACAACCTGATAGAACTGACGTCACTGCGAAAGCGTTTTGACATAATTGTCATAATGTAGGCCTGCCTTCAAACGAAAATAATTATATTGTAAAGTAGCAAGGCAACTTGTAACATTTTGGGCAAAAAAATTATCTGTTAATTGCCTAGAAAAATACAATTAGTATAAATTAGTTGGCACTCTTTGATGCCTTAGCATGCGCCTTTGCTGATAAATTAATTTTCTTTCTTATTATAATATACACTTTTTCCAGGTCACTTATAATTCATTTATCTCATATATTTATTAGAGTGGAACTATGGTATCTAAAAATAGCCGTATGAGTTATCATTGCTTGATCGAAGCCGACCTAGGAAAAAGGAATCAATAGTTGTGTATAGCATGGTTGTGCTATATGGCGAAATAAATACAAACATCTGTTCAGAATTCATTTGATGCCTTTTCATGTTTATGTTTATCTTGTCGTTATAAATCTATCGAAATTTAGTATCAACTAAGATTTTTCAAGCCCTGTGTTGGAGGTAAGCCGTATATCTCTGTATGCATCCTTTCATTGTATTAGTTCTTCGTGCATGATTTATATCATTTACTGTAGTAGAATATAATATCAACACAAGAGAAATGCAGAAATTATTTTGATATAATGTGTAGGTGTGCTGGATTTATGTCTATCAAAGCAGAGTCTCTATCATATTGAACTTGCATGAACATGTCAAGGTGATACATTATTTTACCGAAAAAGTGACGTTTTTAAGTCTGACTATATTATTATCAATGTTTGAACTACACACTATCATGTATTCAGAAAATACGTTTCTTTCCAATTAGCCATTGTGCAACATGGAGAATCCATTGTTTTAGGAAGCCAACTTTAATATTTCGAAACAGTCTACCTATATAAAAAGTCATCCTTATTTACTGAATTGGTGAGCGAGTTGGGTGAGTAGTGGAGTGAGTGTGTAGTTGGGTGAGTGGGTCGATAGTTGGATGAGTTGGTAAGTGAGTATTTTTGTGAGTGAGTTATTGAGTGAGTAGTTGAGTGGGTAGCTGGAAGAGTTGGTCAGTAAATAGGTGAGTTAGTAGTTGAGTGAGTTGATGAGTGTGTAGTTGATGATTAGCTGGGAGAGTTGGTCAGTGAATAGGTGAGTTAGCAGTTGAGTTAGTTGATGAGTGTGTAGTTGAGTGAGTAGCTGGGAGAGTTGGTTAGTGAGTAGCTGGGAGAGTTTATAAGTGAGTAGTTGAGTGAGTAGCTGGGAGAGTTGGTTAGTGAGTAGCTAGGAGAGTTGGTGAGTGAATTGGTGAGTTCGTAAGGTAGTAGTTGGGTGAGTTGATGAGTAAGCAGTTGGGTGAGTAGCTGACAGAGTTGGTTAGTGAGTGAATAAGTGAGTTTATGAGTGAGTAGTTGAGTGAGTTGGTAAGTGAGTAGTTGAGTGAGTTGGTAAGTGAGTAGTTGAGTGAGTTGGTAAGTGAGTATTTGAGTGAGTTGGTAAGTGAGTATTTGAGTGAGTTGGTAAGTGAGTAGTTGAGTGAATTGGTAAGTGAGTATTTGAGTGAGTTGGTAAGTGAGTATTTGAGTGAGTTGGTAAGTGAGTAGTTGATTGAGTTGGTAAGTGAGTATTTGAGTGAGTTGGTAAGTGAGTAGTTGAGTGAGTTGGTAAGTGAGTATTTGAGTTAGTTGGTAAGTGAGTATTTGAGTTAGTAAGGTTGTGAGTGGGTTAATGAGTGAATAGTTCGAAATATCTGAGATTAACCTAGCTATGAGAATGTTGCCCGAAAAACATGTCTTCGGGGCTTCTGCTCCCTTTGGCTCCGCCACTGTCCCGATATCAAATAGCTAAAACATAAAAAAAAACATCTTTTCATTTTTGATTTACCACACCCTCATATAATATTCACGGGTTTCGAGTGTGTGTTCACAACAGACCACATGTAGAAGCATGTTGATTGGACGATTTGAAATTTAGTTGGTTTTAGTTTTTAACAGAAATTTTGTATTAGCTTAGTCACTATCATACGAGGTTTACTCCTTAAAGTGAAGTCCGATATAAATATTAATAGTTTAATGTGGGCTACTGAAGACGGGCAACGCCGTGCAGAGTACACTGTGGGAAATTTTGCAAGGACAACGGCATAAGCCTGCTCTGTGTCGATATCCAACTGTCGAAGGATCTTTTGTCTGCATCACTGACAGGTGGAATCCGGGTTGAAAAATCCGAAGGGATTAACTCGACCAATACCGGGATTGAACCCCGGATCTTCAGGTTAGCTCACTGAGCCATCGCGGTTCTCCAGACGCGTTGAAGATACTTGTGTTTCTTAGGGCTTGCTATTTCCAAAAATAAATTGACCACAATTATCTAAAATTTGTTTTAAGATCTAATCATTTTTGACCAAAGTTTCAAAAGAATACCAATGTACACAAGTTATCATCATATTTTCTTGGAGATATTTAAAAGTAAATTCAAATTACTTTGAAAGCTTTTTCTTTTCTGACAGTAATGTCACAATTATAGATCATTGAAGATCGTTATTATATCAATTGAATATCATATTATTTCATTTACCAGAATAATTTTAATATTTATTTAAATATCTATAAGATCTTTCAAGGTAATTAAGCCAGACACTATGGATCTTTGACACGCTAATATTTAAAATCAAAATGATTCATTTCTATATTATGTCTGTTTTGAATTTTTACTGTGACAGCTTCAGTCCTATCGTTATACCTCATTATCAATCATCAATTTTAAGCATTAAAAAGAATAATTAGCATAGCGAAATAGGATCAATAAGGCCAATTCAAATAATACTACGCTTTAATACTGTTTAATAATGAGGAATTCTCAAGATATTGGGCTCAAGGCAGTTTTCTAAATCCGTTAATTAATTAACTTTGGGTTTTGGGTCAATGTTTTAAAGACATACATGCTTTTTAATAAATGCTTTACGAACTGATATAGATCGATTTCAGAAATATGTACATTTGTTATAATTGATATCTGACGCCTGGCGCCAAGACGTTTTTATCATTTTTGCTTGTCGTTATTTATAATGACGTCATGATATCAGAAATAACTGCACGTAAGATTGTTGATAACATTGATAGTCACGAATATAATCTATAAGCTGGTCAAGTAAATATTTAGATGATTGTATCTCTTTAATTTGAATAGAGATGATAATGACATATTTTGATTTGGCCAGGGTCTTTTCAGAAGGCGAAACAAATTATTATTAAACTTGGTCTTCTATCATATAAATAAATTAACACTCATATTTTTTTTTATATTAGAGAGCATGACTGGATAACAATAACCATTCAAGATGATGCATGGATCACGAACATCAATACCCAGTGAGGTACCAGTTCCCAAAGATATACCGAAATCAATAGATTTTCTGTATACAGACTTGGTACAAAGTGAAAATAGTCGAGAAGACTCATGTGAGACTAGGAAGTTCAAGTTATGTGGAGCTGTAAAAAGGTAAGACTTTTCTCATCGTAGGCGTACAGGACGAAGACCTGTTGGTAATGCAGCCTGGTTTTCCCGAAATTTTCCCTTGAAATTTACCTGTAATTTTCTTTGTTTTCTGGGTGTTGCCTGATATTTTCGGCGGATTTTCTTTTGTTATTAGAGTATCACCCGAAAGCATTACATGTCTGCTCGAGGTTTTTTCGGTCGCTGCCAGAAAAGATAACATTTGGCTGCCCCTCGCCCCTCATCTCCTACACCTATGTTTCTCACTTGAAACGAGTTATGTGGTACGATGGCACAATCTTTGTCATGTCAAACAATCATTCTCAATATACACAATCTTTCTCATGTCAAACAATCATTCTCAATGGACACAATCTTTCTCATGTCAAACAATCATTCTCAAACAATCATTCTCAATGGACACACTCTTTCTCATGTCAAACAATCATTCTCAAACAATCATTCTCAATGGACACAATCTTTCTCGTGTCAAACAATCATTCTCAATATACACAATCTTTCTCATGTCAAACAATCATTCTCAATGGACACAATCTTTCTCATGTCAAACAATCATTCTCAAACAATCATTCTCAATGGACACACTCTTTCTCATGTCAAACAATCATTCTCAAACAATCATTCTCAATGGACACAATCTTTCTCGTGTCAAACAATCATTCTCAATGGACACAATATCTCTTATGTCAAACAATCATTCTCCATGGACACAGTCTTTCTCATGTCAAACAATCATTCTCAATGGACACACTCTTTCTCATGTCAAACAATCATTCTCAAACAATCATTCTCAATGGACACAATCTTTCTCGTGTCAAACAATCATTCTCAATGGACACAATATCTCTTATGTCAAACAATCATTCTCTATGGACCCACTATTTCTCATGTCAAACAATCATTCTCAATGGACACAATCTCTCTCATGTCAAACAATCATTCTCAATGGACACAATCTCTCTTATGTCAAACAATCATTCTCTATGGACACAATCTTTCTCATGTCAATCAATAATTCTCAGTGGACTCAATCTTTCTCATGAAAAGCAATCATTCTCAATGGACACAATATTTGTCGTGTCAAACAATCATTCTCAATGGACACAATCTTTCTCATGTCAAACAATCATTCTCAATGGGCACAATCTTTCTCATGTCAAACAATCATTCTCAATGGACACAATCTTGTAATAACAACGGTTATTAAGACCATGTCAAAACCCGTATTCGGGATACGATGACACTTATTGTTAAATATGGCGCCTTGGTGTGGACTAATTAAGTTCTTGCAAATACATAATATTTTTTATGAAAGAGAAACAAGTTAATGACGCAGGCAGATTGTTCGAGTATTACACAATGTGCACTTAATCATTCTTTTATTGCAATTTCAGACCAATCCACGACTGGTTGCTGCTGATAGCATGTTGTCTATGTAATGGTGTTTTAGTAGGATATACCTATGGTATAGCTGTATTATTTCTGGACATGAAAGAGACGTTTAAAACCAATCGTGCTGAGGCCTCACTTGTTCAGTCTGTTAATACTGGTTTTATGTTTGGTGGTGGTAAGTAGGATGTATTGTTATGTTGGTTCAGGTCGACAAGCAGAATCTGAAAACAACTGCATTTTCAGCGACTGCTAGCAAGACAGTGGTGGTATCTGGTAGAACCTGGTCAATCGATAAAATTTTCTATAAAAGTCGACCAAAGTGGTCAAAATCTGTAACCATACAGCAGGTAGTAGTGTTAAAATTATTTCTAAATAAGCGCTCTTCGTTCCACTGCGAGGAATACGAGCAGATACTGTAAATCGCCAGTTGAACTGAATCGACCGTTAGACTGTTTGCTATTGCTTCCCACCTGACAAATAATCAAGCGAACAACTCAAGAAACCTTTTTACCATACGTTCTTAAGAAAGGAATTATCCATTTCAGGAATAATATCATCATTTTTAATCAGTTATTTAAGTACTGGTACAACCTGTATCATCAGTGCCGTTATAGCGGCAATAGCAACAAGTAGTGGATTCTATCTGGAAGCTCTACCATTTAATATTTTAACAGTTGGTTTCATTGGAGGTAAGTTTTACACGTTGCCTCAGAAGCCCTAGCCCATTTCTGTTTATCAGCATTTCAACACTTGTTAGTCCCTCCAAGCAGAATAAATCTAAGTATATCAGAACTGGTGAAAGCTACTACTTGACTTTGTTCATGACTAACTAAAATCATTAAACACATCCAACCAACTTGATTACCTAGTCCTGTGACAACCTGATAAGATTTTAGATATGTAGCTGGTCTCAGACAACCTGATATTACACTGGTTAGAATATCTGATCCAAGGCCACCTGATAAGACATTAGATGCTGGTCTCAGACAACCTGATGAGACTTTAGATATATAGCTGGTCTCAGACAACCTGATATTACACTGGTTAGAATATCTGATCCCAGGCAATCTGATAAGACATTAGATGCTGGTCTCAGACAACCTGATAAGACTTTAGATAGATAGCTGCTTTCAGACAACATGATGTTACATTGGTTAGAATATCTGGTCTCAGACAATCTGATGGGACAATGGATAAGATAAACTGGTTTCAGACAATCTGATAAGGCATTGATAGCTTGGTTGGTCTCAGACAATCTTAAAAGACATTAGATAGCTTAACTGGTCGTAGACAATCTGATAAGACATTAGATAGCGTAGCCGGTCTCAGACAATATGATGGGACAATGGATAAGACTGAAAATGCTATGTTTTGTTTATGTTACAGGTTTCAGTTTGTGTAATATTTTTACCAGTCTGTTTACAGTAGTGGGGAGAGTTTTTAAAACCAACTATAATATGGCTATAACCTGTCTTATTCTAGGTGGTGGAGTAGGTTCGGCTATCTTTCCATATTTTAACTTATTTCTCCTAGAGACTTATGGCTGGAGGGGAACTTTCTTAATCCTCAGTGCCGTCATTTTAAACTGTTTACCTCTAGGATTGTTTGTGAGATTCTTACTACCCCCTTTGTCTTCGGTCAGACATTGTGACAACCGTTACGTCCTTACATCACATAAAATCTTATGGATGGATCCTGTTTTTACGATGTTCATTCTATGTTTGATCTTGCGATCTGTCCCCATCGGCCTAGTTAGCTACTTTATCTTAGATATTGCAGACTTTAAGACATTCGACGTTTCAGAAGGTTCGTTCTTTCTATCTGTGGTTGGATTTGGGAATCTCTCTGGTCGTTTCCTTACTTTATTGTCCAGACCAATTATGAAATTCTCGGCTGTTCGGGAGTATGCTGTTTATGTGTGTGCATCAGGCGTAGCAATATTTTGTCTTGGAGTAAGTCACAGCTACGCTTTGATCATCGTCTCATGTGTATTTTTTGGAATCGCTTATGGGATGATCTCGGCGACGGCCGGTGTGGCTTGTTTTGCTATTTCCGGTGATTCGAGATATCCAACGGCAATAGGAATATTTAATACTGCCATGGGAGTAGGATTTGGTTTAGCAGGACCTATAGGAGGTACGTTATCACATACATTATTCTGTTCATCTTGATCCTGTTCGTGAATTCTTGGAAATCCCAAGGGCTAAAAAAAAAACCTACTGCATTTTGAGAATTTGAGCGACTGGGAAAGAATAATTCACTTTTCTGAAAAGTGAAACTACAGTGAAAGATACACTTTGGCTTTATCATGTCGATGGTTGTCCAAAAGGATAAATTCATTTTAGATGTCTTCGGATGTTTTTCCTGTAAAACTAAGCCTGATTGCAATCATGATGGACGATAATTGGGTCTATTATGTGACTCTTATAATCCATGCATACCGCAACTGACAATGATCTTTAAGAAGAGTACACTAGTTTCACCGAATCTTTGATCAAATTTTACCTTTATTCTTTTCAGGAACCATACGTGACCATGTGAATTCTTACGATTTGATATTATATGGTTTTGCTTCTGTGAGTTTTTTAGCCGGACTACTACTGATGACTGTTTCATGCTGCTGTACTAGATCCAAATCTCCTAAGATACAACTCGAAGACGCTTGAAAATGAAGAGACTGCAAGAAGATGTCTTATAGGAATGGGCTCGGGTACAACAATTTCTTCATCATCCAGGTTGATTGCAATACGCTGACAAATAGGTTATTAACTAAAGATGTCATCGAACGGGTACTTGCGAACTTTTCTCTTTGTAACCCCTTTATCACAAACCGATCTACTTAATTCTGTACAAGAAGACTTATTGACAATGAAGATCTCAATATTTCTGAGCAAGAGTTCTACACAGCCGCCAGTTCTCAATTATAACAAAGATAGCTTTCAAGGCAATGTAACATTCGCCCACTGGCAGCTGTCAGAAATGATAAAACAGTCTTTAGTGACTTACGTACGAATTTTTATACGCCCATATGAAATGGGGCGTATATTTTCGTCCGTCCGTCCGTCCACAATTGCTCGTAAACACTCTACAAGACCCGATTCTTGACGGATTTTGACTAAAAAGGACGAACCCTATTGAAAATTAGAAGAATCGAAAAATATTTAGTATGAGTTATTGCCCTTGTTCCTGAAAACGCGTTCAATTTTTAGCTTTTAAACACTAAAAGGCACGATTCTTGCTGGATTTTTGACAAAACTTGGTTTTATTATTCAGTCCTGCGCTGAAGATTGATTCTAGAGTTTTCACGAGCTAAAAATTGAACATTTTTTCAAGAACAAGGGCAATCATACTCAATATTATTCAGTACGCCCTGAAGTGTTCAAAAGAAGTGTATGACTGAAGGTTGAATATTTCATACTGGTAATTGTTACTGTACTGCTAAATACTTTTATTCAAAATCAAAGCTGACAGTGGGCGTATGTTACCTTGCCTGGCAAGCTATCTTCTAATATTCAAGAAATATTATTAGTTTGAATTCAATTATATATATATATAAGGGCATAAATATCTGGCATATATATATATATATGTAATTCCACAAATACAACAAATAATTAAATCACACAACTCTAATCAAGGGCAATTGACGCGTTTTTCCTAAGTCAAGGGCAATAACTCAAAAACCGTTCATTGAAATTCGAACTTGACCAGGATCTCATCAATATTAATGATTACACCAAATTTCATCAAAATCGATTGCAAACTGTAGCTTCTATTGTGCTGACACACAAATTTTTACAATGTCAAGGGCAGTAACTCAAAAACCGTTCATCGAAAATGCGTCTAGTTCAAGTCCAATGATCATACTAAGTTTCATCAGAATCGGTTGAAAACTGTAGCTTCAATCCTGCTCACGAACAATTTTTAATAAATTTCGACGCGTTTTAACAATTTCAAGGGCAATATCTCAAAAACCGTTCATCGAAAATACGTCAAATTCGAACTTGACCGAGATCTAATCAGTCTAAAGCATCACACCAAGTTTTATCAAAATCAGATAAAAAACTGTGGTCTGTATAGTGCTCACAAGAAATGTTGACCGACGGACAAGGGCGACGACAATTCATGTGGGCGTATAAAAATGATATATAAGTCATTGAAGATTGTCACCCATTAGTTGCGGTAATATAAAATGTTGGGAGGCTAATGAAAACCATCTAACGAACAAACTTATTAACGAAATATTAGGGTGGTTGATACATAGGTCATGCCAGAAAGGAAATTTTACAATACCTGTAACTAATATTCCTGTTCTAGTGATAATTGAATTGGATTATTTTTTAATTCACACGGGTAGCTTCAAATTTTCTATAAATATTTTCATCTCTCATATCCTTTTATTATACAGATTTATTCTGTATTGCTTTTTACGTGATTTATACATTATTATTATTATATTTATATTTACATTAAATTACTTTCCTTATCATTTGAGGAAACAGTTTTATCCATCTCCGTCATCCTTTCCCACACACTTTTGTTCACAAAATGATATTTAACTTCTCATACGCTCTAGCAATAAAACCCTTTCCTCTGAATATACTGGCAACAATCAGTCTCGGCAGATCATGGATGGTAAGAAGGGTACCAGCAGAAAGACCAGCCAGATTTGAATTTTTCTCAGATTTGAAAAGTCTTAAGTTGGAGAACCTATCTAAATCACACCTTGTGAAACGAAATATCACATGAAAACCAGAGCTAATGATTAGTTGATTTGTGGAATGGGCCCTGGAGGTGAACTACGAAGCCATCTCCACTGCTGACTCGGTTGATTGTTACAGTTATTTAACACTAACCGATAGGTCCTTTTACCCTCAGAAACTACATCTAAACATTGTTTAGTTTCACCATGATATATACTTTGGTCCTGAAATGAAAAGAAACCGCACTGTAAATCATCCATCTACGGTAAAGGGTGGGGGTTATATATAAGTAAGTGAAATGTTTTTGTCCAAGATTACTTACATCTCTATACAACCAATGCTGTTTTTCTGAATACTCTCCAGTACAGTACCATGATGTTATTTGGCCTTGTTTTTCTTTATGTGGCTCAAAACATCCTCTATGTCTTCTTATCTGACCAAATTTACAATGATACCATAGCTGAAAAAAGAACACCCTTGGTATTATGGATGATACGAGCTTCATTTCATACAAAAAATAATATGCGAATGGTAGAAGTGTGAAGTCGAGTTCTGGGATATTGATACAGTACAACAAAGATAATTAGGATAGGCAACGTGGTCAAAACAGTTTTTACAAATGCTAATGTTACTTGTACCTCGTGAAATGAGAATTGTTTCAAATGTAGGGCCTATCGTTAATCCCTCGCATTAAATCCCATCTGGCACCGTATCTCATCTATTTGAACAATGTAGTATGTATGCTGTAAAATGACACAATAATTTCTACCTTTTCACCCGACAATTACCATTATCATCATCACCTTATCGCACAGTTCCTAGTTTGTCGTATAGATGGAATATAGATAGAGTATTATGGGTAAAGCCTTAAAGGACATAAACTCTTAAGTCTCAAACTGGACAAGTTGGACTTACCAGGTACCATGACTAAGGATATAATCTCTGTAAGACGATGTATCCATCTATAGCGTGTTTCAAATTTACCAAGTTTAATGAATTATTAGATGGTTTTATGGATTTATTGGATTATAGAGGGATTCTGTTGTATAGTTATGGTACCTGCTAAGTCTACGGATGATCAAGACTGATTTTGTCCAAAAATTTAAATTGTTTGGTCATCCTAAGAGGTATTTTTCCTCAGTAAATACACCAGTACGTTACCTGATTACTACCCATACCATGACAATTAAACAATCCAATTGCTGCTTTCCCAAAAAAACTTTCATTATCATCATTATCTATACACAGATAATCATATTTCTCATTTCGTATCTATAATTAGATATATATATATTATTATCTATACACAGATTTTCATATTTCTCATTTCGTATCTATAATTAGATATATATATATTATTATCTATACACAGATAATCATATTTCTCATTTTGTATCTATAATTAGATATATATATATATATTATTATCTATACACAGATTATCATATTTCTCATTTCGTATCTATAGATATATATATATTATTATCTATACACAGATTATCATATTTCTCATTTCGTATCTATAATTAGATACATATATTATTATCTATACACAGATTATCATATTTCTCATTTCGTATCTATAATTAGATATATATATATCATTATCTATACACAGATAATCATATTTCTCATTTCGTATCTATAATTAGATATATATATATTATTATCTATACACAGATAATCATATTTCTCATTTCGTATCTATAATTAGATATATATATATTATTATCTATACACAGATTATCATATTTCTCATTTCGTATCTATAATTAGATACATATATTATTATCTATACACAGATAATCATATTTCTCATTTCGTATCTATAATTAGATATATATATATTATTATCTATACACAGATTATCATATTTCTCATTTCGTATCTATAATTAGATATATATATATATTATTATCTATACACAGATTATCATATTTCTCATTTCGTATCTATAATTAGATATATATATATCATTATCTATACACAGATTATCATATTTCTCATTTCGTATCTATAATTAGATATATATATATTATTATCTATACACAGATTATCATATTTCTCATTTCGTATCTATAATTAGATATATATATATTATTATCTATACACAGATTATCATATTTCTCATTTCGTATCTATAATTAGATATATATTTATTATTATCTATACACAAATCATATTTCTCATTTCGTATCTATAGATATATATATATTATTATCTATACACAGATAACCATTCCTCGACACTTGAAAAAGGATAATATTTCGAAAACCGGTTCGTGTCAATTGCGTAAGTTTTTGTTTTACTTGTTATAATTTTTCACATCATTGTTTGCGTTATTTATCACCTAAATATATATTTTTTTGCATTTTTCATCTTGCTTTATATATCCCCAAACCCAGTTTGACTTATTTGCATAATTTGATCCCAACATTTTCACGCTAGCATATACAGTTTCCTCCTGTTACATCCGCTGTACATTCCCTTCTAACCCCAAGTTATTTTCATTATGCTCCCCAACTACAACAACCACTGGCAAGAAGCCAGAAATAGAAACACTAATCGTCAACCAAACCAATATCACGTACCCTACAACGGCCCTGTCTTCCATCGACCTCTACCACCTACCAATCGCCGACCACCAACCAACCCATCCAGCTATATCCCACCCCATCGCCGACCTACCTACAACACAGCCTACCAATCAAGAGGTAACCATCGACCTGACCAACAACAGAAACGACTACCAGCCCACCGACGCCAACCAGTCCCCACTCATAAGGAGGAAGAACCCTTTGTGAAGGTGTTCTTCCAAGTTTTGCAGTGCCTCCATCATTTGGCAATCCTTACCCTTCAACAGCAAGGCCAACCAGCGTTTACCTTTAAACGCAAAGTCTCTGAGTTAGATAGTTTTATCCGTCCAGCAATGAAAACATCAGCTGTCGACGCGAATATTAGATCCCTCAATCGGACATGGCTCTGTAAGGTTACGCAGGTCCTGATCGACCATTACCAAACCACACTTCAAGAGAAGCTGACCACCATTCGTACCAAGTCTTTATCACCACCTGCCGTCGACCGCATCGTTTCTCATACCCTGTCCTGGGTCCGCCGCTCCTATGGGAAACGTCTCTCTCAAGCTGTAATCTCCAAATTCTACCAAACAATCAACGAAACAAAAACCAGAGTAACCATATCTCTACCAACTGAAATGGACACTACACCTGCACCATCTAGAGCCACCACGCTGCCGAACCAAACCCCTAAACGAGCCCGAAGTTCACCTACTCCTAGTCCAGCAGACATAGGTAAACGCTCTCGTAGAGAGGGCACACCCCTTCTCTTTTCACTTTCAGACTCGTCTTCCCCTTCCACACCATCTGAATCTTCACCACGATATCCAGGATCCGCCAACCTTTCTTCCTTCTGTGCGTTTGTGGACCAGCAAACCACCCCTCAGTCTCCATCCAAGTCGAGACGTGTATCCAGACCTTCCCCTCCTCGAACCAGATCCCAGTCCGTTCCCAATGCTACAATTCTAACAACTACCAAACCAGTACCAAACACACCGTCGACGACCATTATATCCGCTACCAAACCGTATTATCACCAAACCAAGGACAAATCATTATGGAAACTACCTGCTCTAAAGAAATCTACCTTAATAATTGGATCATCTAACCTGAATCGAATTACCAAAACCAGTTCAGACACAAATCCATCACATACAGTCAATCCTGGAATCATACGACCATGATCCCAAACCTAATACCATTATTCTTCATGTAGGCCTCAACAACCGTGATCAGATACCAAAGACCTCCTTTAACCAAGCCCAGAAATTAATCGCCACAGCCAACAAAACCTTCCCAAACTCGAAGATCCTCTTCACATGTATACCCATTTCAAATAAAATCTCGAAGAAAGCACAACAGAACCTCAGCACTCTCAACAACATGATGATGGAGTCCAGTATCAACAGCGCAACAATCTTACCACCCTACGAAGAAGAATTCGAAACAATTGATAATCTTCATTGGTCTCCAGAAAGAGCAAACAGCATCTATTTGTTTTGGATACACCAGCTTCAAGCATCGAGTAAGTCTTTAAACTAATTACTGGGGATAAAAATACTGAGAGGCCACCGCTAGGCCAAACTGTAGTTAACTTGAGCCGCAAAATTCTCACACCCCTTCAGCATTCAATCTTAGACCGTGGACTTAAGTTTATTCCCACACCAAAGATAGCTAACTTGAATTATTTCCGACCATCCATTGAACGATTTCAACGAAATCTTAGCTGCACATATTTTTTTCGAAACCACCCCCCACGTGGTGCTAGAACAATGTTTATTCCTAAATCCACGTGGACACCCCCTCAGGCCGCCATCCATCCTGAAATATTGAAAGCATTTGCAAGTATGAATAGCCAAATAGTGAACCTTTCCATAACACACGAAAAGCCTAATCTCACACGAGTGGAACGTGAAGCGTTAAACTTACTTAAGAAAGACGATAGCATTGTTATTAAAAAGAGTGAGAAAGGTTCATGTTGTGTCATTCTGAATAGGGAGGATTACGTTTCAGAAGCAGAGAATCAACTGAATAATCCTAAACATTATGCCATTTTACCGAAACCAATTTTCAAAGAAACTGCTAACATGATTAATAATATTCTTGCCGATTTAGTCAAAACTAGTTATCTTAAACAGAAACAATATGACTATCTGTCTGCCAAACCTGATTGTCGCGAGAGACATTTGTACACTTTGCCTAAAATCCATAAGAATCCAACCAAGGAGTGGTTTATCTCGAATAAAATCCCTAAAGGCCGCCCGATTATTTCTGACTGTGGTAGTGAATCATATGCAGTGTCAGAATACATTGATCATTTCTTACTACCTCTAGCATGCCAACATCGCGCCTACCTTAAAGACACAACCGATTTTGTCAATAAAATAAAAAATCTTCGAGTTCCCTCTAATGCTATTTTAATTTCTATCGACGTTTCTTCTATGTATACCAATATCGATAACACTACTGGTTTAACGGCAGTTCGTAAAGCTTTTAATAGAAACCCAGATCCGAACAGACCCGACGATGCAATTCTACAGCTTTTAGAGATTTGTCTTAGTCGAAACGATTTCACATTTAATGGTAAAACATATTTACAAACTTCAGGGACAGCAATGGGCAAACGATTCGCCCCTTCGTACGCAAACCTTTTCATGGCAGAGTGGGAACGTGAGGTGTTGCCCCTCTGTCCATTTGACCCACTTTTTTACGGACGCTTTTTGGATGACATTTTTATGGTTTGGACTTATTCTATCGAACAGTTTTGGGAATTCTTTGAAATTCTCAACAACCACCATCCTTCTATCAAACTAACCGCAAACGTGAGTGACAAAAGCATAGACTTTCTCGATACCACAGTCTTT